GTTAGTCGCGTATCGTTTACAGGACGTTGCAGAAAAAACCCCATCAGCCCCTGGCTGTTGTGTGATTTTTCAAGGCAAATTTACGTCCAGTAGTTTGCCATTGCTTACTAGACGGTCGGCTTTCTTGATACCACTGTCGAAACCAACGCATGGCGCATGACACGCAGCTAGGATCGAACCCGGCATCCCGGCATTACAAAGTGTTCGCATCGACTTAGCCAAAGAGACAACAATTTTTATTTGACTACTTGGATTAAAATTTTGAAATCTTTTTTTTTTTTACAAAATATATCCTTGTACAAAATATATCCTTATATAAAAGTGTTAAATATTTCGTTTCGTAACTATAAAACCCTTACCTTTTAACAATCTGCGTTTTTAACATTTGCCCCCTGCTTATGTATGGCTTAGGTTTTTGTTTAGCTCAGCTAGGTTTTAAAAAAATTAAAAATTCCATTGGCAGACCTTGTTCAGAGTTCAGATACGTGCAAACTTGCTAATGACCTTGGTAAAACAGTTAATCTCAAGTTAGATGCATTTTTTTTTTCAGTTGTTAAGTATTCGTTTATTTGCTTTTTTTTAAATTTCATTTTTTTTTTTCAAATGATGAGATATCTGATGAGATATAATGAAATATGAGAGGCAATTAATGGTACTGAATCAAGTTAGAGAGTTTAAATATCTTGGAAGTATGATCACAGAAGATGGTAGAATTGACAGAGAAATAGAAACCAGATGTCAGAAAGCAAGTGCACTTATATACCAATTGTCACCATTATTAAGACATCCAAGCAAAACTATGAGTGCAAAGAGACAGATTATTAATAGCATATTTATTCCAACATTAAGCTACCAGTGCCAAACATGGACACTATCTAAAGCCCATATACGCAAAATTACCACCTGCGAGATAAGTTGCCTGAGAAAAGCAGCCAACTTAAACATACGAGATCGAGTATATAATGAAACTATCAGGCAAGTTGTGGGAACGACACCTTGTACTAGATTCATCGAGAAACAGCAGATCAAGTGGTTTGGCCATCTCGTTAGAATGCAGCAAGATCAAATACCGTCACAAGCACTACATCTCAGAAGATCAACTACAAGAGCAAGAGGACGGCTGCGGAAAATATGGATCGATAACATTGAAGACACTCTACGCCTTCACGGCATGACAATAGCCAGTGACAGCCAACGTGCACTGGAACGCAAATTATTCCTCCCCACAACGCTTAACGGCAGAAGTGGTTTATGATGATGATGAATAAATGGCACAATCTAATATTTACGTCTTCTGTAAAGATGTGTAATTTATACGATACATTTATAAGCCACCTATTTATAATTGGCACATTTGTTTCGTTTCTATAGATCGTATTTTACTGTGAGCATTACCGGAAATGTGCGATAACAGCTGTTTGTAAATAAAACACGTCAGTGGAAGTGGATGTCGGAGAGAACAAGCGGATCACGAAATTACCAAAAGTAATTAGGAGCCATAAAAATGCTCTATTAAAAAAAAAAAATTATTGTATCCTAGGTGGATGTCACAAGATGGCATTGTTTAATTTACCACTAATGCGACTTTTATTAAAAATAAATTCTACGTCAACGGATCCGATTGAATAGATGCAGGATGCAGACGTCAGAATCAGAAGAACCCGGCGAACTTAATTTTTTTTAACTTAATGAAAACAGCTTCAGTTTATGAGTTAAGGTAATAGATAATAATGATAAGGAGCGACAGAAAATAATCTAACGCAGCAAAATATAACTGTAACATTCAGTTTTTTTAATAAATCATTTATTGAATCAGTGTTGAGTGTGAGCTGATGTACTGACAGAGTGACACTGTTGTTTCTAATGAATGGCCATGCATGCTCTTGGTCATCTTCCTGAAAAGTTTAAATATTTCAGGCTCATGAATTTTGGCAGAATTTGCTCTCTTTTTCATCTTTTGTCATCTCAATGTTATGATGTTGTAGCCCAGTATCGTGGTTTTCTGTATTTATCTTGAATGATGGATTTGTTCATCTTTTTGCAGATGTCATCTACACCATTCATGCATGTCTTTCTTGGTCTTCCTCCCAGATGTTCTGCTGTAAAAAGTCTGATATGCAGTTTGGTCTGGCTGCATCTCACTAGATGGCTGAACCATTTCATTTATTGTCAATATAATACAGACATGGTCTTATTCCAGCGTTCTCTCTAATGCTGATATTTGTAACTCTATTGTTGTTAGTGACCTTGCAGAGGCAGCACATTTCACATGTAGTTATTTTCTGTTTAGTGCCCTTTTCATAGTCCATGATTGGCACTGATAATATAAAGTAGGGATAAAGATGGTATTAATCATTTGCTATGTTGCTGGAAGGGAAATGAGCAGGAAGATAGACTGTTTGTTCGGTTCTACACCACTTAATGTTAAACTGATGTATGACAAGCTGGATATTGGGGTTACAGAAAACTTACCAGGGTGTCCCGAGTGCTGTGATGTTGATTCTTAATTCAACATTTTGCTGGAAGGGAGACATTTGGGTGTCTTAGCAGTGGTGCTAAGTGGTAGGTGGCAACATTTGCCTTCTGTACTCTGGCTTATATCTCTCTTTTGAATCTGCCATCCTCCATAAATATGCTTCCTAAATATTTCAATTCTCGTACATATTTGAATGTAGTACTCTTAATATGAACGTTTATGATATTATATTTCCTAACTATCCTCATTACCTCAGTTTTCACATTGTTTATTCTCATGTCATACTTTGTGCAGGCTTGATGTAAGGAGTCTGAATGGTGTTGTAAATTCTGTTCTTGCTCATGTATTAGACACTGATCATCTGAAAAAGAAGTTCATTGATTTATGCAGCTTCTGTATTTGCCTCCTGTGATATTCTGTTCATGTAAGTAATGAATAGCAATGGTAAGAGGACACATCCCTGACACCTGATGAGATGGGTAACCAGGTCCTTCCTTCTGTTGTTCTTACTGTGCACTGTCTTGGTAAAGAGCCGTGATGTAACCCAACGGTTGATCTTGAATACCATAATCTTCTAGAATTTTGCATAGTTTGCATCCTTTGGCTGGATAGAATGCCTTCTCTTGATCTATAAATATAAGATTTTGACTTCTATCATATTCAATAGACTGCTCACTTATCTGCCTTAAAGAAAATATTGCATCTATACAGCTCTTTCCCTTCATGAAACCGAACTGTTTTTTTACTTAACATGGGCTCTAGTATTGGTCGAGCTCTAAGTTCCAGTATTTTTGCAAACCTCTTTCCAGTATGGCTCAGGATGGAGATGCCCCTGTATATTTTACAGATTCTTTTGTCCCCTCTATTCTTCCAAATGGGGACAATGATTGCTCTCTGCCAGTCACTTTGTAAAAGAATTCACTTATCAGTTATGATTAATTGCAGTGAATTTGACCTTATATGGCACTAAATAAGACAATCACATTCAAACCATTTTGCACTGCATTAGTTAGTCTTTCTTCTTGGGCCTAGGGTGGCGCCGAGGCCATAGCTCTCAATGTCTGGGAATTGTTTCCACCTGCTTTAGGTCCTGGATGTTTGTCAGACCCATGGTTGAGCCTTCCCTGATGATAGGTCTGTGCAGTCTCTCTTGGTCTTCCCCATTATCTTTTCCCTTCCGGTGTCCATATGAAGGTGTGATGGGGAAATCTTGACTTATCCATTCTGAGTGCATGGCTGTCCAGCGGTGCTTTGTAATACAATTTGACACATTGTCTTGCCTGGTCTCTTGTCAATTTGTTTATTGGATCTAAAATCTGTCCAATGGAGATTTAGGTATTTTTCTAAGACATTGGTTCTAAAAATCAAATTTTTTTGTATCTAGAGCTACCGTTGTTTTCCAACTCTTGCTTCCATAAGATATGACTGGAATCATACTAGAGTGTATACTGAAAAGTTATTCTTGTCAGCTGAGGTGAGAAATGGTGCTCAAGAGTTGTAAATAACTAAGCTTGATGTTTAGAAACAAATCAACAACCATCTGTAGATCAGTGAGGAATTGTGCGGAATCTGCAGAAATGTGGTTTAATTCAAGAATTAATGAATCCAAAATTAACATCCCTACACTCAGGACATTCCCCCACATGCTTCGTCTCCCTCCTAAGAAGCCAACCAGGAGTCAATATGCTAATAATATCAAACTCATCTTCGGTCGGTAGATCTTTACAGAAGCTTATTTCTCCATCCCTAAATGCTTTCATATCCAGTACATCTCCAGTGTTTTGTATCAACCTTCAGAGAGGTTGGACCTTGCCTCCTTCTCCAGAAATGCACCTTCCATCACTGTTCTTTCGAGGCCACCGTGAGGTTTAACATGGCCAAAATACTTCAGCTTTCCGGGTACGAGATTGCTTACACAAAATTAGAAGGAAAATAACTTTAGAAGTGCAGTTTAAATAATATGAAGAGCCAATGGCACGAAAAGTCAACACCTGAGGTGACAATTTTAAGAACATGTTTTCTTGACCAACTGTCAAGAAGGTTAACACTGCAAACAGGTAAAAGTGCTAAAGATGCCATGAAAGAAGTAAACGCAATGAGAATTCATTATCGTGCATCAGAAAAAAACAATCGACATCAGGACAAAATATATGTCAGAAGTGAAAGACAAACAACTTTTAATATAAATCGCTGAAACAAAACTTTCAAATGGAACAAAGTGCAGTAGTAGTACATTTGAAACAAGTTAACAGTTTTAATCCATGTGATGTCAGGATATACATAATGGGTTAAAATAAGCTTCAAGTTTAATTTAATGACAACTTTATGTAGTATAAGCTTTCTTTATTTTTACTTATAATATTTCATTATACAGTATTCATTTGTTGTTTCATTATTATAAACTTTATCCATTTTCAGTCTATAGTGTCAGTTTTGTACAGTTCCAGTGCACCTTGTGTCTAGTTTTTGACCAAGAATGCTACTGAAGTCATAGTTCAAAGTTGGCGCATTAGATGACAGCAAAATGAATGGTGATAGTACACAGGACACCACTAACACAAGTGGTGGTGAAGATTCTTCAACTACAGCAGACAGTAGTGGGATAACTGTTGGTGACAGTTCTTCAGCTAAAGAAAACACTAGTGGGATAACTGTTGGTGACAGTTCTTCAGTTAAAGAAAACACTAGTGGGATAACTGTTGGTGACAGTTCTTCAGTTAAAGAAAACACTAGTGGGATAACTGTTGGTGACAGTTCTTCAGCTCAAGAGAACACTAGTGGGATAACTGTTGGTGACAGTTCTTCAGTTAAAGAAAACACTAGTGGGATAACTGTTGGTGGAAGTTCCTCTACTCAGGAGGACACTTGTAGGACAGCTAGTGGTGAATCTTCTTCAACTACAGATTTCAGACAAGATGCACCATTGTTTGTGTCAGACATTCAGACACTCTTTGTCAGCAACAAAAGTCTTCTTAGTTGTGATTTATTATGGAGCCTTTTTGTATCTGCTGCTAGAAGCTATAGATTCAGCTCGGTTCTTCACCCGTTCCCACCAATGTACCACGTGAACAGTCAGGATGAGAAGAATATCTTTGCACTGGTAAGCTGCCATTTACAACATAGATAAATAGTTGATGTATTTGTTTTTAAATAGTCGAAGCCTACTTGGTATAGCCAGAATAGCTCTGGTTTGATATAAGCCTCAGATAGCGTCGCAAAACATAGTTTTGTTTTCTATAATTATGTGAATCACGAATAAGAAAAAATTAGACATTCTACAAGTTCAGATCATAAAATAAAATATGGTTCATACACAACATCCCGCTATCCTCCGAATATGTAAATTGCGGACTTCCGGCGACTTAAATTGCGCACTTCCGGCACTACCACCACTGCCGAGAGTATCTCAAACGCCGCTTCGCGTGGCGTGGATTGAGGCTAAACTAGATGGCTGGGACTCACGAGCAGCAGCTTTGCATCTCCTGCAGCTTTGCTCGTGAGTCACGGCCATCTAGTCTAGCCCCAATCCACGCCGCTATGTGCGGCGTGGGAGATACTCTCGGCGGTGGCGGTATAGTCGCTGGAAATCCGCGATTTACATGTGACAGTTTTTGGCTGCCATAATATGTGGCCGTTATTCGGAGGATAGCCCAGCATCCTATCTTGGAAGCGTAAATACTTCAACAATATTGAACCCATATGTTCCCTGTGTGGGTTCTAGGGCCCCATTGTGAGGAAAACAAGAAAAGGTCCACTGCCTCCCCAACAAGCATGTCATAGGACATCCTTTAAAGTCGGAGTGCATCTGCCTGAGAGGCAAAGAACCACAAGTCTGCGTACCAAGCCAGATCTTTGAAATGGATATGCATGCAAAAATGAAAAGCTCTAGAATTGAGATGGGAGTGTTGAAATATGTGTGAATTAAGAAAAATTGCAGATTTGGTAATATAAAAGAAATATAACATTAGTTTTTTAAGATTATCTAAAACAAGATGATGTGCAGCAGACAAAGTTTTCAGGAAATATAAAATATGAATTTCCTTAATAATAATAGACTCATGTATAAGAAATGAATAAACTAACTATTTTTAAAGGGGTGAGAATTGGGCACACAGGTCCATCTACCCTTTAGGCCTCAGTCCTTACATAGTCTTTGATTCGTACGTAATTTCACAATAATAAGCAGTATCAAGTGGAATATGCTCACATTTGTAGACAAAAATAAGTCTTAGTATAGTAATTATTGTGGAAAGCAGGGGGAAACTACCACATTATTATCCCAGGGAACTCATTATGGAAGCCAAAAACAAACTGGAAGCTGAAATATTTTGGACATATCAAACGCCCTGACGGATTTGAAAAAATAATAGCAGAAGGCATGGAACCAGGAAGGTGAATTACATAAGACAGTGAAGTTCATACTAGAGACAACATTGCAGATGTAGTCTGTTTAAAGCAATCAAAAGAAGAGAAAGTGCATAATTGCATTTTCTGAGTGCTTTGACCTACATGTTGAAATATGGTTTCAGAAAGGCATGAAGGTATGTACAAGTTCTTTCATGCTACTACCGGTGTTCGAGAAATGTATTGTTAATATTTAAAACTTTCATCATTATAGTTTTACTGAAAAGTTTTACGCCTAAATCAAAAAATTACTAACATATTTTATCATATTTGTTTCAGAGAAATACTGTTTCAAAAGTTCCACATTTTTCTACGGCTGTAGAGTTTGTATCTTCTCTGTCACAAGAGTGTAAAGAGCTGCTATCTTGGGTTTTGCTGCCAAATAATTTTCGCCTGAAACTGAAGCAAAAAAATAAATGTGTATGTTGACAGTATTGCATGATGTTTGTTTTTAAATTTTCTTTTTTTTTTTTAAGACATTCAGAATACAGTGAAAGACCTCTTTGTTTTATCTTATTAACTTAATTAATGTGGAATATTCTACCTAATTTGAGCAGGTCAATCTTGCCTCGCCATGGACTGTGATTACACTGCCTCCCTGTAGCACAATGGAACAAATGGTGCTAACAAAGGACCTCCTGACACACAATGGGGCTTGTTGGTTATATGGCGCTAGCCTTATATTTTATAGACCAGTTGCAATTGAATGTGTAGTGTGGTCACTATTTCACCAACCACCTTTACATCTTTGGAAATTTCCTTGTACTCCTTTTAGACTGGGTCAACCAGAGATTCCAGTTCCCTTTTAACATGATCATGTTGTGTCATTTATATGTCATATGTTGACCCATTGATTCCTCCTTTATGTTGTTTTCTGTACAACCCGTTTAATGTCATGAATGGAATTTAGCCAGCACTATCACCTTCTTTCATCGTCGGCTGTAAACTTTGGTGGAAAGTTTTGACTGTTCCTCCACTTCTTGTTTCGGAAGCTGAGTTTTGCATGCACAGATCTGGCTTATTCTTATGTAGACTGTTGGTTCCTTGCCTCTCAGGCAGATGTACTCTCACTACAAAGGAAACATCTCTAATTAGTCGACTCTTACTACATGCTTGATCTCAGAATGTACCCAGTATTTCACCATCTTTTCTCTCATATCTGTTGTCCACACAGATACTCAGTTTCCTCATTCACCTTTCTTGAATGCATTTTATTGAATGTTCATCATTTGCCTCATTGTTCCTTTTTTTTAATGGATGTATACAACAACAACAAAACTCATCGGGGAGTCTGTAAAATATAAAGTTGTAAAAATAAATGCATGACTTTGATTTGTAAAAGTGGACAGTTGTGTAAAAACCACTTCACCTTTTTAAGCCATAATCTAGCTGGTGTTGATTCGAGTATGACATAGAAGTAACAGCATTTTTTTTTATTGTGTTTGTAAATTAATATTCTCTTTTTAGTTTAATCTGAGTGTACTTTTGTTTTGTTTTCCCTTTTCAGTTTCAACTTATCAAAGAACTGACTGGCCAGGTGATGGACACAGCAGAACCAAACTATATTTTTGAAATTGTATACAACGAAGAAAGAGAGCGGAAATTTAAGGAGCTGCAGGGTGCCAGAAAAACATTTCATGGTTACCACGGCAGCCGCTTTGATAACTTTTACTCAATACTCCACAGTGGCTTGAATGCACATCTTAACAAAGTGAGTTTGAAACCTGCTGTACTTTAGTATTTGCTAGCATTAGAAGAAAAAAATCTTCAAGGCTACAGCTAGGAATAATATTTTTTTTAAATGTTGTCCCATAGCTGATACTGCCATTAACTCTTTGAGTTCCAGAGGGTTAAGCATCACAGGCCCAAGGGGTAGTCAAAAGAGACGCAATGTCGGCGCATCATGCGTTCATTGGGCTTCTTGGCAGTAACCTATAAACGTGTGTTGCATTCCTTGGGACTCAAAGAGTTAAGTTATCTCCTTGTTTTTCATTCTCCTCTTTATACCTAGAAGTTGCTTAATGCCATAGTTTTCAGGTTTGGCTGTTATAGATTTCTAAAATATCCTTGCCTTTTGTGCCCCAGTCATGTCTGGGAAAATAAGGATAGTTGGCAGCTGATTTCTGTGTCACTTATTGCCCCACACACTTTAGATGTGGAAAGGTTTACTGAAAGTGCTGTTATATTTTTGAAGGTGTCAGTGTTCGGAGAAGGTACCTACCTGTCCAGTGAGCTGTCTGTCTCACTGATCTACAGTCCTACAGGCGAAAGCTGGAAGAACAGCGGTTTGGGCGGGAAACTTTCCTGTGTTTGTGTCTGCCAGATGATTGATGACCCAAGTGTGAAATGCCAGGTCAAGAATGGTGAGAGTTATATCTTACCTTAGTATTGCTTCCGTTTCTTATCTGCTTTAAGTAAGTGCTTGCTTCCATTTCTTATCTGCTTGAAGTAAGTACCTTGTACGTCATCAGATGTAAATTTAGTTAGGAACTGACATCATAGCACTCGGAACAATTCCATAAGCACTGTGTCCTCATCTTAAGCAGACATTGTAAAGTTGGGATCAGATAGTGTCAGCAGTAGTCTGATTGTATGTCTGTCCCCAGAGTTGAGTGTTAGCCCCCCCCCCCCCCCCCCCTCTCCCCCTCACTGCACCATTCTCTTCAGACTGTTATGATCTGTTCATTGTCATCTGATATTAAGTTCAAGCTGGTGTTATTATTTCTGAACTAGTGTGTTCAAGTACTAGGGTACCCTTACAACAGCAAATTGAAAATGCACTACAGAAGCTAAATTTAAGACTACTACTAGCAGACTCATTTCACAATATGTAGAATATTCTCTGGGACAAAAAAAGTGTGTACATATTTTATATATTTAGGCAGTAATGTAGGTAAAGATGGAAGAACTGATATAGATAATATACAAATACCAATGGGAAAAATAGTAAAAACACTAGGAAATAAACATCAAGAACATTTGTCCATACCATTGAGCATGTAGTGCTAGGTCTGTATTTCTAGACCAATCAGTACTCAGTGGGTGATGTGTTAACATCACACTGGCCGCTTTTACTTTCTAGAACTTTACCTGTTACCCATTGAAGGCTGGATCAACCCTCTGGCCAGGATAATTTTTTAAAACAGTGTAGCTCTCTGTGGATTTGAACCTGCAGCCTTTGTGCTTGAGTGGAGCATTTAGCCGCTACACCATGGCAGCTCCCAAAACAAGTACAGTAAAACCCTGTTAACACAAATTCTAAAATCAAGAGTTTGTATGAAAAACTTTGTGCTAACCAAAAACTCAAATAAATACATCCCTGTTGAGACACAGTTTGTGTTCATTTTAACAAGGTTTTACTGCACTAACAATCTACAAGTATTCATTAACTGGTACTAACACAGAATAGAGGGAATTAAATGCTGTGATAGAATCACTGTGTGGTTTTGGGAGAAACTAAACAAATTCCAGTAAATCAAGAAGTGAAAAATATAAACTGGCATTGGAAAGGACACAGGCTGAGAAAGCCTAAGAGCTAGAATGTCTTTACACTGGCATCGACAGGGGTATAGGAATAAAGGCAGACTTTAAACGCATAAACACTGATGTAAGAAAGGTTTGATAGTTCCATACTGCAGTTGGGCTGTTGAAATGCTGTGTCTTTACAAGTTCTAGGCACCTTCCAATTGTCTTTTCTTCACAGAAAATTACCTGCTACCCGTTGTTTAGGCTGTGTAGCCAGCCCCTCAGCCATAATGGGGTTTTTTTTTTTTTTAAACTTGTCTTTTTTGGAGAATCAAGACCACTGTTAGTCAGGCAGGCACATTTGTCATTCCACCTCATGGATCATGGCCTTGTAAGGATAGTTAATTTAAACAGAAAAAAAATGAGGGGTTGAAATGATTGTGACTGGATTGATCATGTTGTGAGAAAGTTTGAATAGGCTGGAGGTAACCCATAGCTGAGTCTACACTGATAGATAGAGCAGTTTGGGTATTACAGTTTAGTAGGCAAGAGTGCTGAATAAACCTACATTAATCTACCATTAAGGTCCATGCCATAGTTGGAGTTTAGGCACGGGCTTCACTGTAGAAGCTGTCTGCCTTATCTTATCCTGGTTAGCTCTGAGGAACATTACGGTCAAGAATAGGGCAAACTTCTAGTAATTTTGTGCCAAAGTTACATGACACCTCACTCTGTTTTTGTATACAGTAATTATTAGAACATAATTATCTGATCTTCACAGTAATTATATGCTTGTGGTTAATTTTTAATGAGATCATGTACTGTAGTACTATGCTTCAGTTCATTCAGTGAGCCATTACAAATTGTTCACTGTGCCACAATTGGCATGCAAGCCATAGATTGCCAACACTTGTTCGAGAATATGTGAATTTCCAACATTTCATACTCTAACGACAGCAAAGAACAGTCTGTGGAATCTTTCTCTGTCAGTTAGGCTGGGGAGGAGAGTTCTTAAAAGCTGTATACTTCCAGTTCTGATATATGGAAGCGAATCATTGATGATTAGCCAATTAGTGAACAATGGCAGAAATGTGATTTTTTTAGACAGATTATGAGAGCACCATGGTAGGATAAAAAGAGAAATGAAGAGTCTTTAAAGAAATTAACACACAGAGAGAACTGATTACCTACATCTGAACGAGAAAATATACATTCTTTGTTCATGTCACAAGAAGGAGAAAACTAGAGTACATCATGGCATTGGGAAAGTATTTGGGGAAAGAGGCAGAGGGAGACCTGAGAGAGAAGATACCGAACAGTTTGACATTGTGATATAGAAAATCCACTGTGTCGGAAATGATTGAAAGTACATGAGACGGAAGGTTCTGGAACATGACTACCAATACTAAATGGCAACAGCTAGAAGAAGAAGCAGAAGTTAGTAACTGCCATGGTACAACCTTTACTTTAAACATATTTTTTTTTTAGAAAGTCTGACCAAACAGAAGCAAAGAGCCCAGGCATCACGCGATGCAGATGCTGTCCCAGAGAAATACTATGTGGTTCAGAACAATGACATGATGCGGGTCAAGTATCTACTAGTGTACAAGCATGAGAGCCGTCCACAGCAGGGGTGAGTTTTTTAATGAGTTATTTTGTTTCTAAGTATGCAGATCTGGTAAGAACTGATTTTTGTCCAACTTTCTACTCAGGGTCAAGCAATGACCCTTGCTATAACTAATGAACAGGGAATCATAGCAACAGGAAGTGTCTTATCCTTGTCACTCAGAGAGGTCGCAAAACCGACATTTCCGGTTGGGTTAAATCCCCATATATGTCACTTATCCAGCTTGGAATTTTTTGTTTTTCTGTTATGCCTGTTTGTTTTTCTGTTTTGCCTGTAACAGTTTTGTTCTGTGAACTGCACTAAAAATGGTGTTTACTTATGCTGTGTTGAATTTGCAGTATCAGCTTTCATAACTGACTGCTTACATCAGCAATGAGCTGCAATTCTTGTGTGGGACTGTTAGTTCTGGCACATCTGAAGGCTGCATTATGCATTTACTTTGTGTGTAGAAGCTTTAGGATTTTGCTGGGACTGACATGGATTCCACTAGTTTTCAAATAGAACAGTAAAGAAACTTTTGTATGATTTTTCACTGGCACTGGATCAGTGCAGTTATGGGACAACCAGTCTGCAGCAAGGTTGGAACCTCTACTAACCAACTTTTCTACCAGACCTGTTTATGAGATAAAAAGTTAAGACTGTTGGCTGTGTTTGCACCTGCACAGCATTTAGAAGGTCAGGATATGAAGTAATAAAATAGAATTATGGTACGTTTTCTTGTAAACCAAATGACTTTTAAAGCCCTGCTGACTTCAGATTCTCTCCAAATCTTTGGTAATAGAGACCAAGGGAGTCATTGCATAAGTCACCTGACACATATTTTTTGGAGCCCCCGGGAATGTATTATATTTAATGCTTCACTCTGTTCATGTTAATTGATTTCTCTTTTTTTATATTTTTGTTTTTTTTAAAGTTTAGGAAACAGATTGTTGCTAAATAATTTTAAGGATGTTTAATGAATTTCCATCGGTTTGTGACCCATGAGTTCGTGGGGCGAGAAGGTTAAAAGAGCTGCTGAAATAATGAGAAAAGCTCAAAATTAAAATTAATAAATAAGAAGACTAAGACTGAAAAAAGTCACAGTTTAGTTTGCATTAAGTGATGATGATGGTTTCATTATGGTATCCTTGTGAGGTCATGTTAGTCTGCATAAAGTGATGATGATGGTTTCATTATGGTATCCTTGTGAGGTCATGTTAGTCTGCATAAAGTGATGATGATGGTTTCATTATGGTATCCTTGTGAGGTCATGTTAGTCTGCATAAAGTGATGATGATGGTTTCATTATGGTATCCTTGTGAGGTCATGTTAGTTTGCATAAAGTGATGATGATGGTTTCATTATGGTATCCTTATGGGGTCATAGGTTCGTCTGCATAAAGTGATGATGATGGTTTCATTATGGTATCCTTGTGAGGTCATGTTAGTTTGCATAAAGTGATGATGATGGTTTCATTATGGTATCCTTATGAGGTCATAGGTTAGTCTGCATAAAGTGATGATGATGGTTTCATTATGGTATCCTTGTGGGGTCATGTTAGTCTGCATAAAGTGATGATGATGGTTTCATTATGGTATCCTTGTGAGGTCATAGGTTCGTCTGCATAAAGTGATGATGATGGTTTCATTATGGTATCCTTGTGAGGTCATAGGTTCGTCTGCATAAAGTGATGATGATGGTTTCATTATGGTATCCTTGTGAGGTCATGTTAGTCTGCATAAAGTGATGATGATGGTTTCATTATGGTATCCTTGTGAGGTCATAGGTTTGTCTGCATAAAGTGATGATGATGGTTTCATTATGGTATCCTTGTGAGGTCATGTTAGTCTGCATAAAGTGATGATGATGGTTTCATTATGGTATCCTTGTGAGGTCATGTTAGTCTGCATAAAGTGATGATGATGGTTTCATTATGGTATCCTTGTGAGGTCATGTTAGTCTGCATAAAGTGATGATGATGGTTTCATTATGGTATCCTTGTGAAGTCATGTTAGTCTGCATAAAGTGATGATGATGGTTTCATTATGGTATCCTTGTGAGGTCATGTTAGTCTGCATAAAGTGATGATGATGGTTTCATTATGGGTGCCTATGGCTTAGTTAGTCAGGAACAAGGGTAAAGAACAAAGAAACAAACAAATGGGGTGCACAAGCCTATCTCACATTTTACCTTTCTCATCTTAAGGCAGTAATTTTATTTAATGTATCTTAAGTGAAGTTCATTTAGCAATAAACATGATGTGAACACTAAGTATATAGACAAAACTTGGCAAAAAGAAACATACCAGTAACTGCTCGATTGATGTAAGGGAGAGATAGGTATTCAACTTGTTCTATCCCAAACAAGGCACCATGTGTGACTGGGTGTTATTCTGGTGAACCAGTCAACCTGTTATGTCTAGTTTTACATCTTACGTTTAGTGAGCAACTCTGACAATATATTTGTTTCCTGCCAGGTTTGTAATATTTGGCCCTTCTGGAAGTAGTATACTCATGAGTTTAGCATTGCTGTTCTGAACTCCCTCAGACTTTAGCTAGGACTTTGGCATGACCATCCAGCACTGTCTAGGCAACCACTGGTAACAACAAAGAAAATGGCACTATATTGGACACATTCTGAACAAACAGAGAATTGCCAGACAGTGGGGGCTAAAATGAAATTAAAGGGATTGAGGAAGCACACACAAAAAAAGCATGTGCCCTAATATGAACGTTGGTGAAAGAAGCCAAAGGTACTGGACTGGATTCCATTCATGATACTGAAAGGATTGCACAAAACAGAACAAATAGCGCCCTGTGTGATTAAAGTCACATAATATTTATCATCATTTATAATGTGTCATCATCATCAGGTGCCTTGCCGACTGGCGTGGGCGACCATGCCTCTCCACAATCTGCGATCTCCTGCAGCATGTATTAGTTCGTGTGCCGACACACTTCCATGCCATGCAACAAGACTGTCAAGCATCTTCTCTCGTCTTCCTCTATCCCTCCTTCCACAGATCTTTCCAGTGGTCACAATATGTTCTATTTTCCCTCTTCTCATAACATGGCTGAAAAATGATGTCTCCTTCTGATGTCTGTGATAAGTTGTCTTCGGTCTCCTGCCTCTTTCAAAACTTCTTGGTTGCTCTTTTTGGCTGTCCAAGGTATTCTAAGCATTCTTCTGTAAAACCACATCTCTGAGGCCTCAAGAAATTGTTTGGCCTGCCTACTGATTGTCCAGGATTCACAGCCATATGTTAAAACTGGATGTATGTAGCAAGCAAGAATTCTTTTTCTAACTCTCAATGACAAGGATATATTGCACAAGATGTTTTTTAATTGTCATAAGGACCCTATTATTTCTCAGCTCTGATGTTCTTTATTTAAATACTATTTCCACAGCGCCCGGTTAGAATCATCATCATACACTTGGTTGCGTGACCACAAGTTCCCTCTGCTGATGTTGGCCTATGTTCTGCTTCTTGTAGCTATTGGGTTGGCTAATTCTCGGCATGCAATGAATGCTATCTCACGGGTTTTTAAAAGTATTTCATAACAGGTAATTCTACATGGTGTCCAAAAAAGTTCTGGAACCAGTCCCAAAAGTGTGTTTGTACCTTTGCAGGTGAAATACGATGTTAACAGAGCGTGAAAGGACAGTGTTGATAGTTTGTAAATACTTCATATTTCAAGAACTTAAGAAGGTATAGATGTGCGTGGTAGACTGTAAAAATGTTGTCATCACCTTAAGAAGATTCGTAATTTTTGTGTTGATGACATGAGATACCTGAGAAGAGATGCTGCACCAGATACGTTAAGATGCAGAAAATCGAATGTGGAGTCACAAAGGTTACCTTAGTGGCATGGAAAGTCGGTGGTTACCTCAGAGACATAGAAAGTTACAGTGGTTACCTCAGAGACATGGACATTCAAAGTGGTTACCTCATAAATACATGGAAAGTCAGTTGTCACCTCAGAGAGATGGGTAGTCAGTGGTTACTTCCGAGCCATGTAAAGTCACAGTGGTTACCTCTGAGAAATGGACAGTTACAGGGGTTACCTCAGAAACATTGAAAGTCACAGTGCTTACCTCAGAGACATGGAAGGTCAGTGGTTACCCCAGATATAGAAATCACCATGGTTACCTCATTGACATGGAAAGTCATATGCTTAACTCAGAGACCTGGAAAGTTAATGGTTACCCTAAAGATTTGGAAATCACCATGGTTACATCAATGACATGGAAATTCACACCTCAGAGACATGGACCGTTTCACTGGGTACCTAGAGTGAATGTGCTGTGAATCTGAATGGGCATGTGGAGAGTCAGTGTTGATATTTAGAGTATCTGGAAGGACATTTGCCAGTCGGGTGGTCTTTTGGAGTACCTGGATGAGCATTTTTAGTCAAAATAGACATTAGAAATACCAAGGTGGACATTTGGAGTACCTGGTGGTACATTTGGAGTCAAGGTAGACATTTGAAATACCAAGGTGGACATTTGGAGTACCTGGTTGAACATTTGGAGTCAAGGTAGACATTTGAAATACCAAGGTGGACATTTGGAGTCAAGGTAGACATTTGAAATACCAAGGTGGGCATTTGGAGTACCTGGTGGAACATTTGGAGTCAAGGTAGACATTTGAAATACCAAGGTGGACATTTGGAGTACCTGGATGAAGATGTTGAGTCATTGTGGACAGCAGGATGGACAATGTCGAGTGTCAAGATGGACATGTATAGTCAGGGTGTACTTTTGGTGTTTAAGGATATACTTGTGAGATTAAAGAATAGGCACCTGGAAATGCCTGTAAAAATTGTAGGGTCAGTGGTTCCAGACTTTTACGGATACCTTGTATACATCTTTTGCTGATCAGTACTTTGTATGTTAGAAGTGGTATCGTTTCAACTGCTAATAATATGTATGAAGTGATATACTTCTGTCAGTCATCCTGCCTTGTTTATCAGGTAGGTTTGTTGCTACTAATCACCACCTTGTGTGTTTAAAGTTTATTCTGCTGATCATGATTTGTGTGTGTGTATTATCATTTTTTTTTTTTTTTTTTTTTTAAATTCACACGTGTATGAAGTGTCAGTTACTTTTTGTGTGAGTGTTATAATTTCATGTGCTTATAAATTATCATAATTTCATGCATGTATGAAGTGTCGTAACTTGATATATTATGTGTATGAAGTGTATGCTTATGAAAATATTCATTAATTAATACGGAAACTGGTAACGCAGTGGCTAACATTTTTGTTTCAGTTAATCACGGTTCCAGTTTCATTGCAAACGGGTTGCCCCATAACTGCTTTGTTTCTGTGCCGGTGGAAATCACACCAGAATGTCCTTCACTCTCCCATTTGAAAAAGTATTGATAAGCATATCAGTCCAACAAAACTCTTGAAGCTTGCACACACCGGGTAAATGCATAAGGCAGCTGTCGGATGTGCCAACACTAACAGTGCACCCCTAAAATTGCAGTTCACTGTTGATGCAAGAAGTCAGTTATGAAAACCAGCAAAAAAAAAAGAAGCAGAACCTTAAATCTTCCTTGACACCTTCAGCGGTTAAAGAAGAAGACAAAGACTTTTCATTGTTTCGGGAGATGTTCTGGTGAGAAACACGTGGATTTTCTGATTTATTATGTAGATGTGACTAGCACTTTACACATGTTACAGTGTGAAAGCGGGTCCTTCTCTGTCTTTAGTTTTAATAATTCATATATATAAACTCCCCGTGTGGGTTCTGGGGCCCCATTGTGGGGAAAACAAGAATAGACTCACTGCCTCCCCAAAAGCATGTCGTAAGAGTCGACTAATTGGGGAGCTTCCTTTGAAGTCGGAGTGCATCTGCCGGAGAGGCAAGGAACCGACAGTCTGTATTCAAGAGAATGAGATCTGTAAAACTGATGCACACGCAACACTCAGGTTCTGGAGCAGGACTGCAGTTCAGTAGTGGACGAGCAACCAGAACCTTCCGCCAGAGTGTAAAGCTGGTGAACGCGAAGAAGAAGAAGATATATATAAATTTACTGTGCACTTATAATGTAACTGCTGACCATTGTGTGTCTATGAAATAACTGTGGACTGCTCCATGTGTATCCATGCAACAACTGCTGACTACGACTTGTGTGTCCTCAGTAAATAATATTCCCAAAGACTGCATGCAGGCAACCTTAATGTGGAAGAGAGTACCTTTTTTTTGGTCATTGTGACACATTATGTGAAGGCAGATCCTAGACAAGTTATCAAGAAATTATCCAGGGAACACATTCACTGCCCAGACCAGAGATCTGTCAGTGCAGACATGGAGAGATCTGTCGCTGCAGAGATCTGTCCGTACAGGTGTGTAGAGATCTGCTGGTGCAGACCTGCAGAAATCTGTCAGTACAGACATGCAGACATATGTCAGTTCAGACATGGAAAGATCTTTCAGTAGAGAGATCTGTCAGTACAGACATGCAGAGATCTGTCAGTACAGACATGCACAGATCTGTCAGTACATACATGCACAGATCTGTCAGTACATACATGCACAGATCTGTCAGTACATACATGCACAGATCTGCCAGTACAGACATATAGCGATCGGCAAGTACAGAGCTCTGTCAGTATAGTGTTACATTATCAAAACACTGAATGAATCTAATTATAAAAGTATTATGCATTTGCTTGATCACAAATGAAATGTACCTTTTACTTGACACATTTATTTAAATGTCACAATATTTGAAAGACTTATTTGAATGTGATATATTGGATTGTACAGACATGAGTCAACATCATTCACATTTATTTAAACTTCTGTTGGCTGCAGTCTTTCCTTCAAAGTCGCTGCTCTGCATGCGTGAATGTTACCTCAGGGCCAATATTTGATAGCTATTATTAAGAAGTTTCAACAGGCAAGGATGCTTACTATAGTGAAATGCTCATTGAGGAGCTCAAGCTGAAATGCTGGATTACAACGCTATCCACACTGTGGGCTTGCATGATTTGATGTGTCCACAACTTTATCCACACTGTGGGCTTGCATGATGTGTCCACAACTCTATCCACACTGTGGGCTTGCATGATTTGATGTGTCCACAACTCTATCCACACTGTGGGCTTGCATGATTTGATGTGTCCACAACTCTATCCACACTGTGGGCTTGCATGATTTGATGTGTCCACAACTCTATCCACACTGTGGGCTTGCATGATTTGATGTGTCCACAACTCTATCCACACTGTGGGCTTGCATGATTTGATGTGTCCACAACTTTATCCACACTGTGGGCTTGCATGAATTGATGTGTCCACAACTTTATCCACATTGTGGGCTTGCATGATTTGATGTGTCCACAACTCTATCCACACTGTGGGCTTGCATGATTTGATGTGTCCACAACTTTATCCACACTGTGGGCTTGCATGATTTGATGTGTCCACAACTCTGTCCACACTGTGGGCTTGCATGATTTGATGTGTCCACAACTCTATCCACACTGTGGGCTTGCATCATTTGATGTGTCCACAACTCTATCCACACTGTGAGCTTGCATGATTTGATGTGTCCACAACTTTATCCACGCTGTGGGCTTGCATGATTTTATGTCCACACTGCAAAGTTTCAGTTTGTGTTGAAGCATTCTCTCTATAACCCTGATCTTGCTCCAGGAGACTTTCACTTTTTGGTCCCTGAATAGAACCACCAGAGGACAAGTATTCATCAGGTAATAAAGAACCAACATTTTGCTGAGGGACAAGGTGGAAGATGAAGAACTGAAGATAAGTGCAGCATGGCTTACAATTGAGCCAAAAAAAAAAAAAAAGTTTTGTGCAGGAATACAGACTGTCGACAGATATACATATTTGAAAAACAAGACGATTCCTGTTGACAAATGATGTGTTCATCTTTTAGAAAAGTTAAGTTAATGATTTCTTATATAAAACCTGCACAAAGTATTTTATGAGAATAAAAAACACTGTGAAAACTGAGCTAGTGAGGGTAGGCAGGAAACATAATAAGAAAGTTCATTCAAATATTTCAGGAGCGTATTTACGGAGGATGGCAGATTCAACAAAGAGATAAAAGCCAGAGTATAGAAGGCAACATGGCAAATACCGTCAACTACCAGTTAGCCCCACTGCTTAGACACCCAGATGTCTCTCTTCCAGCAAAACAGCAATTGATTAATAACATTTGTTTCCCTTTTCAATGTGCCAAACATGGACAATGAGTTGGGCAGTAGAACATAAAATAACTACATGTGAAATGTCCTGTCTCTGCATGGTCACTAACAACACAAGAAGAGACAGGATTACTAATACTAGCATTAGAGAGAAAGTTGGAATAAGACCATGTCTGGATTATACTGACAGACAAAGACTGAAAAGGTTCGGCCATCTAGTGAGAATGCAGCCAGACCAAACTGCAATGAGACTTTTTACAGCAGAGCATCTGGGAGGAAAGCAAGAGAAGCCCAAGAAAGATATGGATATATAATGTAGCTGAAACCTGCAAAAAGATGAATGAATCCGTCACTCAAGCCACCACAGAAGTGCAATACAAATACAGAAATGTGACACCGGGTTACAACCTGCTATCAGTTAGACGACAAAAGAAGAAAATGAAAGTTAATCCTACTGCCAGAGCGTGGACAAGTTTTGACTCTTTTAAGCTTAGAATTGCAGCAAGCTGATGTATTTTCTCACTGTCTTTTGTGTATTGCATAATCTTTCAGTTTTTCCCCATTATGGGCTGCTGGTTTACAAGTAGCGTCTTTAGGAGACATTTTCATGGTGTGTGTGGGTATATATATACCTCAGTAATATGTCTCAATGGCAGACTAAAATTATTGTGCTTGTTTTTGTTTTATTGCTTATATCAGCAATCCAACAACGATTCTATTATTTGTATCACAATAATAACTTTTTTCATCTTTTTTTATACTATGTGGCATTACTATAGTGTTTTATTTCTTATGTTGACATAACTTACTTCTGCATTGATGATTCTATTGTACACTGGCATTACAGTAACTTGTTTCTATACTGTTGTATTGTATTTTGTTTATGTCAGCGTAGCAAACTACATTTGTTTAAAGTCTGTATTACGCTGGTATCACAGTAGCTTTCTTCTTATTGTATACCCATGGCATTACTGAACTGTTTTCATGGTTGTCAAAACTAATACATATACATACCTTGATGATTCTGCAATGGACTACAATTCCACTGGTTGCAATAACACTTTTTTGCCCTAAGAAGCTGCTGCTTGATAATAATGGCATTTATTTTATCTGATAGATTCAAGAACTCCAACTGCTTTGCAATTCCATTAAACTTTATGTTTTCCATGTTTTTTAAATTATTTTTTTGACGCTGCTTTTGTTAAGGCAGATCAGATTGTGTGGTTTCTAAATAAAATTTCTTTGCGTATGCGGTTGGGCCCGATTTGACAGTAAAAGTAGACTAAGTAGGGGCGTATCCTTCAAAGTCAGAGTGCATCTGCCTCAAAGGTGAGAAATTAACAGTTTGCATGCAGGTGAGTCACATCTGTACAATGGATGTACATGCAAAACTCAAGTTCTCGAACAATATAAAGGTCCTCATGTGAGTGAACAACCAGAACTTTTTTGTCAGTGTTTACAGCCAGTGAATGCGAAGAAGAATAAATGGAGTGATAAGCAGATGTGTGTTATGCTTAGACTAACAGAAATCCATCTACCTATTGTAGACATCATCATCATGTTTATATTGCATTATCTTCATCGCATTGCATGTGAATACAGTGTACTGTTGATATGCCACTTTCTTTACAGCATAATAGACTAACATGCTCAAACAAGTGATTCATGTGCAAGACTGAACTATATCAACTTGTTTGATATTACATTGTTTTGCTAAATTCAGAGAAATCCTTTTGTTTCTTTGTTTTTTGAGTGTCAAGAGTGTGGGTTTTCATTGCAAGGGGGAAAAGATATAATTTTGCTGTTAAGCTTTTCAAAAAGGGGGCAGTTTGCAGTGCAGCAGTTGATGGGCATCACTGGTCATTCATCTAGATCAGGGATATTCAACTGGCGGCCCACGGGCCAAATCTGGCACGCCAAAGCCTAGCAAGTGGCCCACGGATTACTTCTAGCTGTATTGTATTTTTGATCTTTCTATGCTGGGGCCGGTGACGATCCCCGTTTTGAATATTTTGGCCCCTTAGCCAACTTAGTTGAATAGCCCTGATCTAGATGTAGGACTTTAGTGGCATCAGTAAATTTTCTATATTTTTATTGCATAGATTTTTTTTCAAGGTTCAGTGTAGGCGTTGGTAGTTGTGGCATCTTTCAAAATGGGATGACCAGTTCATCTACATTTCTACTTCCTACTGAATTGGTGCAGTGCGTTTGCCCTTACTGTCCGATGGTATCATTTCTCAGTGGGTCATGGCTGTTCAAGTCACTCTGTTATTTTATCACTAGTGCCCCTTTAGGATTGGGGGGGGGGGGGGGGGGGGTCAGACGCCAGACCCACAAACAGTTACAATAGGTGAATAATTAAGGTTTTGCTGAAACTGGATGTTTTGTTCAAAATGTGTTGATATTGCAGCCTAGCTATAAATCACAACACAAGCACCAGCTGCCATTTTGAGGGTGCATCATCATCATCATGGTCCCATATTGTTGGGTCCCCAGTTGCTATTGACCAGCTCCCTCCACCTCTGACGGTCAGTTGAAATGGACTTTATGGTTGCATGCCTAAGGCAAGTTCCATATCCAAGTCTTTCTTGTTCTGCTTCTTCTCCTCCACTGAGCCCTCTAGTATTGTTCCCGAGAGGCCGTCAGATCATCTTATTATATCTCTGTAGCATTTTTATTTTCCATCTTCTCATTGTAGCTTAAATAAGTTCATAGTTGCCAAGAGTGCATACAAAAGAAGAATCTCATCTAGTGTTACATTTTATGCAGGTGTTTGTATTTTTATGCATAAATGTAAGGAATATATGCAAATACTATCCATCAAAGATGCAAACAGTGGGAAATGGAGAGTGAGAAGCAACAACAAAATTCATAAACTGTTTAAATCACCATTGATCACTGGCATCATGAGATTTAATAGACTAAAATAGCTTGGGCATACTGATAGAATTTCAAATGACAGATAGGTTAAAACCTACATTTACAATGGAGCTAATTGGTCATAGGTCATGAAGCAGACCGAGAAGACGATGGAGAGATAACATCCTGACAGACCTGCAAACACATGGTGTCACTAATTGGAAAGAGAAGGCCAACCAGAGAGATGAGTGGAGGCGGGTGATATCTGCAGCAATGAACCTCAAGGGCTCGGAACGCTGAAGAAGAAAATATGCAAATATTGTAAAACATACACGCATTGTAATTTAAAAACAAAGCTCACAAAGACATCCAGTCATGTTAAATTTATTAGAAAATAAGAATATAGGTTTAGATAAAAAGTTGCATCCATGTTCAGATATCTTAAAAATGTTTGCAGATAATCTTCCCAAACAATCAGTAAAACTGATTTTTAAATATGCATTTGTAAATTACCAGGACAGTATAATTACACTGGAATTTAAAAAAAACTTTTAATATCTGACTCTTTAATTTTGTATCCACAATGAATGTTTAAATGAAAGGATATATAAATGGAAGTGGTGTCTATAAAATATTACTAAATTAATACATATCAATGTTAACCTAATATTCAAAATAAATGTATTAATGGATGCGCTGTTACTGAATAACTCCCTTTTCACCTTTCCACAATTCTCGTAACTCCACTTTACAACCTAAATCCCTGAGTGCCGCCTTGGCTTCATCCTCAATTTCCTTGTGATGGTTGATTATTTCATTGAGCAAGCTCTCCACTCCCAGAGGTAGAATAGATTCAGTCAACTCTTTGGTTCTGGATACCAGATTTCTTAGGGCCATGCAAGCATTCTTCTGTAAAGGAAGATTGAAAAACAAAATGTAATTTACATGCTGACATCAAGATGCCAAATGCTATGAGAGAACATTTGTCGAAGTACTATGCAGAACCTGCATGTGAGAAATGGAAAATAAGCAGATAAGCTGAAAAAACATAAGTCTTGTCAACCAGCACAGGACTGGCACTATTAACCGTGCAACGCTGATGATTATGTGGGGGGGGGGGGGGGGGGGGGGGGTTCTGAGCACCGTATAATATTCCACAGACAGCAGTGGGTCCATTGCAGCCTACCTTGACTGTGAAGATGGACACAATTTTTAATCATCATTACATTTATCTTTCATTATCACCATCACATTTTATCTTTTAGTGAGAGAGATATGAGGGGGCTTTAGATGAAAAACCTTACAAGTGTGACGGACGTATCAACATATTAGACCTTCATTCATAGAAAATTAGTAATCATGAAAATGAGGTTTCCGAGAAAGGCTGTAGGAGTGACCAGAAGAGATCAAATCAGGAATGAGGTCATACGAGATAAAGTCGGCACAGAACCAATTCTAAATTACATAGAAAGACAGCAAATCAAATGGTTTTCCCGCTTTGAGAAAATGTCTTCTGGTGCTACACCATTCAAGGCATATACCAAAAGAGGACAGGGAAAGCAAGAGGTAGACCAAGAGAAACATTGAAGGATAACAGAGAAACTCTACAGTACCACAATGTGTTTTTTATTCGAAGCAGCCAGAAAAGCACAAAGCAGAACTTTATATCTCCCTAACCACCCGAAGCAGTAAGAGGACGTAGAGAAGAAGATTCACAAATGCCTTTCTATAGGTTTAACCCTTCACTGGTTGAAACAAAAACAAGGATAACAAAGCTGCTTCTCCTTGGTGTATGTAAAAAGTGCAGCAGCCTTCTCAAAACTGTCATGATGAACCCCATTTTTGTCTACACAGTGACGTCACATGCTTGACACTCTTGACATTCTTTTTCTTCTTCAGCATTCCGAGCCCTTGAGGTTCACTGCTGCAGATATCACTCGCCTCCAGCCATCTCTCTGATTGGCCTTCTCTTTCCAGGTGGTAACACCAAGCGTTCGCAGGTCTTTCTGGACATTACCTATCGTCTTCTTGGTCTGCCTCGTGGTCTATGACAATTAATCTCCCTTGTGTATATAGTTTTTACCTCTCTGTCATCTGACATTCTCTCAGTATGCCCTAGCCATTTCAACCTATGAGCTCTCATGATGCCAATGATTAATGGTTATTTAAAAAGATTATGAATTTCGTTGTTGCTTCTCACTTTCCATTCCTCACTGTTTACATCTTTGATAGGTCCAAAGATTTGTCGTAATACTCTCTTTTAGTTGTGCTCCAAGTTTCAGAGTTATATAAAACGTCTGGTCTTATCAACGTGTTACACATTATGATCTTGGTGTTGCAAGATCCAGACTTTGACTTTAGCAGATGCTGAAGGGCATAGTATACTTTATTTCCAGACTGTATTCTAGATTGTATTTATTTTCCCAGCATGCTGGAGCAGTTGAAGTTTGCACTCAAGTACTTATATGTTTCCATTCATTTGATTTTCATATTATCGACCTGTATGTGGCCAGAGTTTATATCCTTTCCCTGTCTACTTATTATCATGTATTGTCTTATCTTGATTGATAACTAGTCCCATTTTGTGAGCTGCTTCTTTGAAAAGACATACTTAACAATAATGTCAACAGCAAACAGGACCATGGCATGTTAACTAATTTCTATTAGACTTTGAAGGTTTTCATTTGAAAACCACTCGTATAAAAGGATATAAGACATTTTTTTTAATTAAAAAAAGGCATGCAGAAAAGCAAATTAGGGACAGGAGACAGACAGGAAAGACATGGAGTGAGCAGCTAAAGGTAGGAGAGATTTAACACAACATGGTTGAGAACCTATGTCTTGAAGGGGAAAAGGGGGGGTGGGGGGCGTGTGTACAGGACAGAAAAAGAAAATAAAAGAAAAATTCCAACCTGAACACCAATTTCTTTTGGATGAAGTTTCATGACTTGAACTATGTACTCATGTCCCTGGCACTGAACAACTTTGCGGCAGTTGTCCTCATTTCGGAGTGTGATGGTGGTCAGGACTTTACAGGCTGCTTCTGCTACCAGAGCGTTGTTCTGATACTTGTCTAAAACAGCCACTATCAGCTCGATGCCTCCAAGCTTGGCTATTTCATGCTTAACCTCATCATTCCCAGCTAGTGTTTTCAGGACAATCATGGCTTGACGCACAATATTCTGAAGTAAATATTAAAGATAAACATTCAGATACTAAAACACTCAAACAGTGACAGCTTAATGAACACCATCTTAAACAGAAATATTAAAGAGAAAACATTCACATTTTGAAACATTTAAACAGGGAAAGGGTAAAAATTAACACCATCTTAACTACAAATATCAAAGATAAACAACACAAGCTAAATGCATACATATTCCAAAACTTTAGAGAACCACATACAATATTCTGAAACAAATATCAAAGAATAGCAAGAACCTACAAATAAAGACGTATGGAATAATTATCAAAGCCACACACACAAAATTGATGGGAACCAAACAGTACCTGATACATATATTTGTAGGCTTCGAGGAATGTATTCCATTAAATCCTTCGCTCTTTTCCTGTTTACTGATTATTATTTTTTTTAAACACATTTCACAAATCCCCCCCCCCCCCTCCTTTTTTTTTTTTTTAAATGAATAAAACTTAAAAGATTTATTAGTGACCTGAGAATAACTGTATTTAAAAAGTTTTTTGCGCGAATTCCCATGGTGCCATGACTCATTTATTAAGTGTACCCAGGGCGACGGAATTAATGAACAATGAAGCATTAGTGTACACTTCTTTTAAGAATACAAGATTCTACAGAAATGAGAGTCTGACATACATCATTCCAACAAACAATTAAAAAATGATACTGTGCGCTTAGACGCACTTTGTAGCTCTAGCAATACTTTTAACTATTATAAAAAGCATGCAGGCATTTTAGGAAATGACAGACAGGCTGGTTCTGCAACGCTTGGTGGAAAACTGATGTATAACAAGCTAGATCATCAGTCTGATGAGATCGGTATAGCAGTGAGTGACCAGGGCATCTAGCCGACACTCAACACTTAGGGCAAGAGGGACATACAATTAGACTGCTACTACTACTATCAGAATCAGAACTCTAGCTGCTAAAGACAGGAATAGAGTGCCTAAGAGAATGTCCCGTGTCCATTTGTGTCGGTTTTTAAACTCAACTCAACAAACAATAAGAGAATGACAGGTTTCAAAGCAAATATCAAAGTTGAACAATAATTCTGGCAAGGAACTGAATGATGTATTCACATGAAGAATGTATCTGATATTGTAAACATTGAAACCCTTACAGAAAATAACATATTAAGAAAATCCTTCATATCTTAAAAACAAAAAATACTGCCATACAAATTCATAATAAATTATTCATAAAAAATTTTAAAAAATTGTGGGGTATTCACTAGAAGAGACAGGCCTTACACCTTTTGACAAGTCTTAAGATGAATCTTTGGACTTATCAAAGATGAAAACAGCAGAGAATGAAGAACAGGAAGCAACAATGAAATTCATAACCTGTTCAAATCACCACTAGCCGCGGATCGGAAGGTCATGGGTTCGCTCCCTAGCAAAGCCCGAGTTTTTTCAAAAATGACCTTGGCTCCCAGGTTCTCCCAGCCTTGAGTGGGTACCGGGTGCAGTCCTGGGAAGTATAGGCGGCCGGCGTGATGCTGACCACATCACCCATCTTGTGCAGATTGGTCTATAAAAAATATAGGTCTAGCCCTATATGCCCAATACGCCTAAAGGCGTGGGAAAGGGTCCTTTACTTTTTACTTTTTTTTTTCAAATCACCACTAATGATGACATCATGAGGGAGACCAGACTGCAATGATTGGGGTTGATGTATATGGTGACCATATTGTTCTCAGGTAGACCCAGACAGTCCCGTCAATACTCAATCAACAAAAAATGCCATTGTTGCAATCAAAGTTAGGTATCAACAGGACGGTCTGGACCTTTCTAAAAATGTGATACTGTCCCGACAAAAACAGGACTTATGGTCACTGTATTTATGGACGAAATGGCAGATAACAGAAAATCAAAAACTGTTCACAAAAGAGTTGAATGGAAGTAGACCAGCAGCCAGACCAAGAAGCCTGTGGAGAGATAATATACAGGTAAAACTACAAACACTTGAGCACCTGCAAGAAAGAGAAGGCCAATCACAGAGACGAATGGAGGTGGGTGCAATGAACCTCAAGGGCTCAGAATCCTCAAATAGAAGAATGATCAGTAAATATATAACATTTTAATGTCATTTCTGCAAGAACATGAAATGTATTTACCTTGTCTTCAATTGCATTTCGGCAAGCATTCAGGATGAGAGTGACGCCTCCTCTGTCCATCACCTCATGACAAAACTCATCCCTGATGGCCAGGCAACTTAATGTGAGGAACAGCTCTGCCAGTACTGACGTGTCCTTTTTGTATTCTGGTCATAGAAATGTTGCTTTAGTTTTAACATTACAACAACAAAACAATAATACAATAGAAATGTTATGGATGAATAGATAGTTTGCGAATAGTGCAAAAAAGTACACAGTCTTTAAAGCAGCAGTTCCCAGCCGTGATCCCAGTTAATAGAGGCAGAGTGACCCACAACCACATTTAAAAAAAATGTACATTCACTGGACGAAAAGAGGATGGCAGTATCCAAAGAACAGTGTACATGAAAAAGAAACATGGTCCGGCCAGTACCTAAATTTTCAGTTTTAGCACCTATTCAGTACAAATGTGGTCTAGCAAGAAGCATGTTTAACTACACCGGAAAAATCTGAAGCGAAGATACACTGGCAGCAGTAACTTAAACCCTCAAGACAACTCTACTTTTAAATGGGTACGCCACAAGATTTATTAAACGTCACTGTACCCCACCCCAAACAAAATTACAGTGCCCAAACTCCAAGTATTTATCATCATCATCATGAAGCAGGTCCTCTGCAGAGCGTCGCTCTTATCATGGGGTGCCTGAAAGAAACTCGGTCTCTCGCCAGCTCTCCCGCCTCATAAACTTTCACACTCAAGAAGTCACTTATATCCTGTGCCCATCTTTATGTTGGTCGGCCGCTGCCCCTCTTTCCTGGTACCATGCCTTCTGCTATAATTTTTTCCAATCCGTCGTGGCACTTGATATGACCGAAATATTTTAGCCTCCCAGACAGGATGCTGTTTATTAGCCAATCTTCCCTGATGTTCAGATTTTTCAAGATGTCAGTATTTCTCCTCTTTTTCGTCCAAGATATTCTGGGAATCTTTCTATAGCTTTTCAGCTCAAAAGTATTTATCAACATCAACAAATCAAATTATCTGGTCAGAATGTAACAAAATCAGCCATTATCTATATGAGAACAGCTGGCTGCTGGGCAAGAGACTAACCAATACATGATATTGATGGATGGAGTAAAAGAGACACTTCAGAAACACGATATAACATTAACACAAGCTATACAATGAGCAAAAGGCAGGAAACTACCTCTAACTCATCTTTGTGGCGCTTCACAGCATAAGCATTAGGTCAAATTAACAAGTACCCATACACCAAATCCAACTGAATTTATCAATTTACTTGAAAGTGCCAGTTGACTTCCATAGGTCGAATGGAGAGACAACTTCAACTTCAAGAGGAAAGAACCCAATTCTACATGGCATTATTTGCTTGATTTCAGACAAATAATTGACAAGGACAGTTCCCCAGTGTGGGTTGCATGGCCCTTAGTATAACATGCGATTTATTTGCTGATGACTGTACAATATATACTAGTAATGAGAATCGTAATGAGTTAGAAAGATCTTTACAGAAAGAAGTACACAATCTTTGTAAATGGAGCAACAGCAATCGCATGCAAATTAACATAAATAAAACGAAGTCTATGCTTATAACAACCAGACAAAAGTTGCAAACATTAGTACTGCACAAGCCGACACTCGAGCTCTACATTGATAAATTACCTATTGCTAATGTAACGGAACACAAAACTTTAGGCCTTACAATTGACAACCATTTAACCTGGAATTCTCATGTTTCTGTGATAACTAAGAAAATAGCAAAAAAAAGTCTATCAGCTTGCAAAAATTCAACACTTTCTAGACGAAGATGCAAGAAAAGTATTTTACGCGTCTTACATCCAAACACATGTCGACTATTGTTCCACAGTTTGGGATGGTTGCGCCAAATCAAATGTTAAAAGACTAAGTTCTCTTCAAAATCGTGCTTTACGCCTGGTTTCAGATAATAAACATATCGTAAAAAATAATTTCTATAACCATCTAAGACTATTGCCATTTAGCAAACGTTTAATTTTTAACAAGGCCAAATTTATTCATAAAATTTTATCTCAAAATACTCCAAACTACCTTTTCCGATTAATTAAATCAAATCCTATAAATAGCAAGCGACTAAATTTATATTTACCTAAACCTAGAATAGATTTATATAAAACAAGTTTAATGTACTCCACTGCTCATTTGTGGAACCAACTTCCACTAGACCTGAAAAATTCTAAAAGTCCCTATTCATTTAACCGTAAACTTTTTCAATTCATACTTACAAGCGATTATATGCCACCTTGAATGTAATGTAACCCATATTGCATTATCAATTTATTATTAAACAAGGTGTGTATGATATGTATGTTTGCGCGCGCGCGTGTGCTTGATATGTATGTATGTGTAGGCGTGTTTGTATACATATGACTCTGAGTATGTTGTTTGTCTGCTTGTGTATCTGGGTGTGTGTCTGCGAATGTATGCGTCTGTGTCCTTGTGTATGTGCGAATGTGTGTGTGTTCGCGCGTATGTCCACGTGTATGTTTCAGTGTGAACTGGTTTCTGTGTGTTTAAGTGTGCCTCTTTGCTGTTTATGTGTGTCTGCATGTGTGTGTGTGTGCGATTGGATACATGTAGCTGTGAATATGTGTCTGTGTGTGTGTCTCTGTGTTTGTCTGCATGTGTGTGTGTGTCTCTGTGTTTTTCTGCATATATGATGTGACTGTGTGTATATCTTCGTTTGTGTCTGTGTGTGTCCCCGTATGTGTTTGTCTTCATGTTTGCCTCTGAATGTTTATGTGTTTTGTCTATGAGGCTGTATGTATGTATCTCTGTGTGTGGGTGTCTGTCTGCGTGACTGTATGTGTCAGCATATGTCTGTCTGTCTGTGCATGTCTATGTGTGTTTCTCTGTGTGTGTTGTGTGTGCCCCTTTGTTGTCTGTATGTGTCTGCATGTCAGAGTATATGTCTGTGCGTGCTAAATATATGTGTCTGTGTGTGTGTTTCTATGTGTTTGAATGATTTTGCATTTCTGCGTGTTTGTCTCTGTGGGTGTCAGTATGTGTTTGTCTGTATTTGTGTGTGTGTGTTTGACTGCGTGTGTGTCTATGTGGCTGTATGTATGTGTCTGCATGTTTGTCTGCGTATGTGTGGTGTGTGTGTCAGTGTGTGAGCACAAATGTAAATATGTGTGCTGTGTGTTTCCCTGTGTGTGTTTATATGTAAGTGTCTGTGTGTGTGTCTGTATTTTTGTCTGAGTGTGTGTGTGTCTCTGTGGGAGTGTCCGTGTGTGCATGTGTGTGTCTCCATGCATGACTGTATTTATGTCTGTATGCGTGTATGCCTGTATTATGTATGAATGTATGTTTGTATCTATGTATGTATGTTTGTGTGTACGTATGCCTGTGTGTATGTGTGTATGCATGTTTGTTTGTATGTATCTGTGTATGTATGTATGTAATGTATGCATGCATGTTTGTGTGTGTAAGTGAGTGGGTGAGCGCGTGTATGTGGGTGTATGTATGCACGCGCAGGTTTTTGCATGCACTTTACAACTCACGCTTTTGTGTTCTTTTATAATATTCATAGTATGCATATCATCATATGATCATAACATGCTTTATTAGTAAAATACAACTGCTGTGCGAAAGATGGTTGACTGGAAGGGCCGAATGTAAGACGGGCCTGCGTGCCCAATTTGTGACCCTTTGAAAATAAAGTTCGTTCGTTCCCTCACAACTGTAGAAAAGTTCTCAGTGCACCCCTTCTCAAAATTCATCTCACCTCCACACAAGTGTAAACAGATCTCAGTGCACCTCCTTTCACAATGTATCCTACATCCACACAACTAAACAGATCTCGGTGCACCTCCTTTCACAATGTATCCTACATCCACACAACTAAACAGATCTCAGTGCACCTCCTTTCACAATGTATCCTACATTCACACAACTAAACAGATCTCAGTGCACCTCCTTTCACAATGTATCTTACCCCCACACAACTGTTAACAGATCTCAGAGCACCTCCTTTCATAGGGTATCTTAAATACTTAAATACACACGACTGTTAACAAACAGCTCTCAGTGCACCTCCTCTCACAGGGTATCTTACATCCACACAACTGTTAACAGCTTTCACTACTTCTCCTTCCCTTAGAAATGATCTTACTTTCACACAATTGTAGAACAGTCCTCAATGTACCTCTTCACACAATTTATTTTCCTTTCCCACAACTTCAGCCCTCAGTGTACCTCATCTCACAATGTGTCCTAGTCCTACCTCCACACAACTGTAAAGAACTCTTACTACATCTCCTTCCCTCACAACTGATCTTACCTTCACACAATAGTAAAACAGCTCTCAATGCATCTCCTTCCCTCCTATCTGATATTACTTTCACACAATAGTAAAACAGCTCTCAATGCATCTACTTCCCCCTCCTATCTGATCTTACTTTCACACAACAGTAGAACAGCTCTCAATGCATCTCCTTTTACTCACATCCTATCTTACCTTCACACAACAGTAAAACAGCTCTCAATGCATCTCCTTCCCTCACATCTGATCTTACCTTCACACAACAGTAAAACAGTTCTCAATGCATTTCCTTCGCTCACATCTGATCTTACCTTCACACAATAGTAAAACAGCTCTCAATGCATCTCCTTCGCTCACATCTGATCTTACCTTCACACAATAGTAAAACAGCTCTCAATGCATCTCCTTCCCTCCTATCTGATCTTACTTTCACACAATAGTAAAACAGCTCTCTATGCATCTCCTTCGCTCACATCTGATCTTACCTTCACACAATAGTAAAACAGCTCTCAATGCATCTCCTTCCCTCCTATCTGATCTTACCTTCACACAATAGTAAAACAGCTCTCTATGCATCTCCTTCACTCACATCTGATCTTACCTTCACACAACTGTAGAACAGCTCTCAATGCATCTCCTTCGCTCACCATTGACTTAGCATTCTCAGAACCTTTTCCAAAAAGCACACGGACATCATCATCTAGAGTTAGTGACCTCAAGCAGATACAGCTCTCTTTAATGATCGTTGGATTTGATTTTTGTACAGTCAGTAAATCAGTGAGCATAGGAATCAAATTCATCTGAATAAATTCCTGCCGATTCTTTTCATGCTTCAGACAATTTAATCTAATAGCTCGAATAATCAGTTTCAAAACATCAGACACATCCTGGTAGTTTTTAAATAAGCATATAAGAAGTTCGATGCCTTTGTCGTCTATCAAATCTGGCTGGCCGTTGACAAGTGAGCAGAATGTCTTTAACACAGCTTTTAGATGTTCAGGATCATCTCTATAATGTAACAAAGCTTTATACAAAATTGGATATGCATTGCTAGACCCTGCCAGGCAACGGCGAGCAAAGTCAGAGTCACACTCTGTTTGAATAGACTTCAGAGCCTCAACAACTTGTGTGTTATTGATGTCAGAATTGTCCAAAGTCACAGACAATTTCTTCAATGCTGATGTCACAGGATGGTCTAGGACTTGTCCATCCTCATTTGTTGAATACAAAGATGGCTCCTTGACTATACAATTTAGATTTACACCCTGAAAATTTAAAAAGTACCATTTATTAAAAAGAAACAAGACTATTAATGTAATAAAATATATGAAAACAAAACAAAAATAATACATCTCTTTTTCTTCGATTCCTCCTCTACTTCGTGTTGATGAAGACATAAGGTTAGGGATCTTGTTTTTCTGGCCACCGTGACCACATTGTACTAATAATATAGTTTCTCGGAAGTTACGTGTCCATTTTTTTCTTGTCTATCTCATGCTCTATGTCTCTCTTCTCTTGTTGTTTGTGACTTGAGCTCTGCAAATGCGCTTCGTAATTTCGAGTTGATTCAAGCTGCAGGCAAACATGGCAGCTACACATTGTGATGGTTTAGATATCTTTAATGAGAGGCTTGTGGCTTGCATCACAAGGAAAGGCAAACTACTAAACGTAAAATCACAAACAGCTAAAAAAAATGTCTGGGGTTGCTTCTGCAGCATTCTGTAAAGGTATGTAACTAACTTTTTGTTGCTGTATGATTAAGATGTCAAAAAGCATTCTCTATAAGTGAGTACTAAGCCGTGAACCGTGACTTTAAAACTCTACAAGACTATGTTGGGCTCTTTTCTGAACGGCGGCATAATATTATGGCGGCCATAAAGTATCCAAAAATATCAGAGTGGGGCTCAGGTCTATTAAAAATATGCCGGCTCCGTATAACGAAACAAATGCTCTAACAGGGTCTCAGCGATATGGTACTTGCGGACCTGTTTCTGTGACTGTGCCTCACCGCCGAGAGGATCCTGTGGCGCGGATGGGGGCTAAACTAGATGGATGGGACTCACGAGCAGCAGCTACTGCATCTCCTGCAACTTCCTCCAAATAATTTGCTCGTGAGTCCCAGGCACCTAGTTTAGCCCCCCCATCCGCGCCGCGCGTAGCGGCGCGGGGGATACACTCGGCGGTGAGTTAAATCGCGTTTTGCGAAAAGTGTGAGGATACATGTCGGCAGGTCTGACATCTACCGCTGCTAAATCCTCAATCGGACTAACAGTATTGCTAATCTGCCTGGGAGCACGTGGTCTACCCTCCATATTGCTTTCATCATCTGTAATGTCTCGAAATTGTCAACGGTCGCTAATATCGTCTGCAGAAACGCTCGAAATTGTCAGCCATTGGTATTTATCGTCTGCTACTACCGTGTGCAATGTTGATATTATCAAGTAATCCTAGTTTTGACACGATTTGTTCCTTGGCAGAAAGTCCGTATTTTAGATATGCCTGAGCCCCGTTCTGATATTTTTGGAAATTTTATGGCCGCCATAATATTATAACGCCGTTTGGAGGAGAGCCCTATGTTGTGTTTAGTACTCCATTTATCAATTTGTTGGTCGAAACTTGCAGCTGTCTTTGTGTCTTTTCCACTCTCTACATTGAGCATTCTAGTCACAAATTATGTTGTATTCAATACTTCTTGCCAAGAGCTCAACTGCAGTCGAGCTGAGGGCATCACTTTAGATATCAGAGCAGTTGCCAATTATATTAAAGGTACAGACAATGAGCTGATGATTGAGCTGTGCAAACAGATGCTTAAATGAAACCGTGTGGGTTTAGTTCCTCCCCCCCCCCCCTTTTTTTTTGGCTCTCCTAGCAGATTTGGCCGGCGAGCTAAACTGCTTCGGCCGGCTTAGTGGGACTTACGTCCCTTCGCCAAACTCAAAACAACTCAAAACCAGTCGCGGAAAAAGTCACGAATCAAATGACATACTTACCTATCATCATCCGGGTGCGTGTAGGGTTGCGTAGGGTGTCTATCATCGTCCTACGGTTGCGTGTAGGGCTGCTTATTGCGTGTAGGTTGGTCTAGGGTTTAGGTTTTAGTGTTTAGGGGTTAGGGTTTCGGGTTTAGGGGTTAGGGTTTAGGGTTATGGTTTAGAGTTTAGTGTTTAGGGGTTAGTGTTTAGGGTTAGGGTTTAGGGTTAGGGTTTAGGGTTAGGGTTTAGGGTTTAGGTTTAGGGGAATGGTTCGATTTGAAAATTTTCACGTAGGAGTTCGAAATAGTGGCCGACAATGTGACGTTTGTGGGAGTGGCGCCACTGAAACTCTGTCAAATATGACGCCAATAGCGGGCGGCTGGTGCCCAGTCGCTGGCGAATTGTCTGTGTCAGTAGCATCCACCGTCCGTCGACTGTTTGCACGTGCATGCGACTGAGCACGATTAAAGGTAACTACGGCGTCATATTTGGCAGATTTTCAGTGGCGCCACTCCCACAAACATCAGATTGTCGGCCGCTATTTCGACCTCCTACGTGAACATTTTCAAATCAAACCATACCCCTAACCCCTAAAGCTAACCCCTAACCCGAAACCCTAAAACCTAAACCCCAGACCAACCTACACGCAATAAGCAGCCCTACACGCAACCGTAGGACGATGATAGACACCCTACGCAACCCTACACGCACCCGGATGATGATAGGTAAGTATGTCATTTGATTCGTGACTTTTTCCGCGACTGGTTTTGAGTTGTTTTGAGTTTGGCCAAGGGACATAACTCCCACTAAGCCCCGCTAAGCCCCGCTAAGCCGGCCGAAGCAGTCCAGCTTACCGGCCAAATCTGCTAGGAGAGCCCCTTTTTTTTCCACTTAGGGAAAAAAGGGAGACCTGTTAACAGAACAGGCTGTTCTGTTACACCTCTTCAGCATTTCGCCGAAATTGGATGTTTGATTGACCAAAAGGCATAGATATCACACTCTCAGCTGTAAACCACAAGTGACCAACTGCCCTTTTAAAAGCGAACGCTGAATAATAAGAGGTTGATTACAAGGAGATCAAAGTTGATCAAGGGATAGAATGTTGTGAACTGAACATTTTACCTACCTGAGATTCAAACTGCTGTATAGCATCCTGTACTGCTTCACTAGCATCCATGTCAAATTCCGACATATTTTCTCTGACAACATCGTCAAATGTTTGCTGACTGATCTGTTTAGCCATCACTAACACCAGCTTACGTTTATAATTAATACAGATGAAGAAAATCGGAATCTCTAATGTAAGATCTAGGTCTGAAAGCGCTTGTTGCTAACTAGAAGGCCATGCCTATGTACACAACAACCTTCACGGAAGTGATTGCGTCCTAACCGATCAAATAATCCCCTTACAATATTGAATGTTACGCCACATATTTTATTTATATAAGCTGTTATTATACGTATTGTATTAAAAATTAACGAAGGGTTATAATCTAATTGCTAAATAGTGTGGTTAAACAAATAACAAATGTATTAATTAATCTTGCATACTTAATGAGACTGCAGCAGACAACAAAAAATGATAAACTGAGGATAACAAAGTTAATAAGTTGTGTCTTTGATTTAATCCTAGCTCAGTTTTTCCATCTTGCATGAGATATGGGAGTTGGAGGCTTGTGGTCACTTCTCAGTCCTGTGGGAAAAGAAATGAGCCTGGAATTCTGCAAGGGAAAGAAACTTGCGGTGGATCTGAGTGCGTGGATCGTGCAGTGTTCTGTAGTGGCCACATCAAAGCCGATCCCCGCTTCCTATCTCTGTTGCAGGTTTGTTTGCCGGAATAAATTTGATGTTTTTTTTTCCCCTTCATGTTAACAGATTACACCAAACTTCTGGATTGTGCAGGTTTAACGATGCAAGGACATTAGACCAGTGAAGTGTAATGTATGTAATGCATTGAAGGAGTGCTCCGTGCAAAACCTGTTGCAGCCAGGCACCCCTTCTTACTATCACGGCAGTTCATGGACTGCCCTGCCCCCCCCCCTCTCTCTCTCTAATTCCCCCGCCCCTCCCACCGTTTTCTTTAAATTCCATGGTTTGATTTATGTTGTATTATATAAATCTTGCAACAAATGTTCACTGGAGAGGCAGGGGGTGTTTGGCTGGATTCTATCCAGAATATGGAGAGGATTGCACTGGCGAGTACAGAACAGAAGGATTCAATGCGAACCCTATGTGATTGTGTGTGGACGTATACCGGCGGAGGCATCAGTTCAACAACAGACCCACCTACGCTGACCTACCAGTGGCTTCCTGTCCGTTGTGTGGTGCCTATGGTGCTATAGCGTTGAAGAGGTCTCCTGGAGGTAAACCTACTTGTTTGATCCAGACTGCAGTCCTCCAGGGTAAAAACTACAGTACAAAACTGATCGGGGGAAGGGGGGGGGGGGTCAGTGGTTAGTGGGATCTTAAGGCACCCCTAATTATAGGGTGTTGTGGGGGGGGGGGGGGGGGCGCTCATGGTATCGTGGAAGAATGCCAAGCAACCCCCCCCCCCCCCCCTCTCCAAAAAAAAAAAATTTGCAAATTTAAACAGAGCTAAAACCCCTTGATGGCCTCCATCCCCTCAAACATGATAATAGGCTTCTGACTCCCCCCCCCCCCCCCACCCCCAAATGACTTCTTTTTTTTAGGCTTTCTGAATTGCTGCTGCTGAAAATTATTATACTGAAACATTAGCTATTTCAGTACCGGACAACTTACTATGAGTATCTTTGAAACTCTATAACTGGTGTACATTTCCTGATCTTGTTCTGTCCCCTTCTTCTGCTATGTTTATCTTTATATCTCAGAATGCTTAAGTTTAGTTTAAGTCAATACATACATATGCACACACACATTATATATATATATATATATATATATATATATATATATATATATATATATATATATATATATATATATATATATATATATATATATTTATATATATATATATATATACACACACACACACATACACACACATGTGTTTGAGTATTTGTGTGTATCAGATGCCTAAGGTGAATGTTAAACATCAGGTATAATGAATTCAAGAGGAAATGTTGACTTGAGAATCGACATCACAGCACTCGGGACATTCCTATTAGCGCTCCATCCCCATCTTCAACAGAGCTCCTATTCTGATGGCACCAGCAGTTACTGTCTAATTTTATATCCGTCTCGCCTTTTACTTGAGTGTTGAGCGTCGGCCAGATTTCCTGGTAATTCCTCGCAGTGTCATTCTCCACAGACCATAATGATCTATTTGTACCTCCACACTTACTCGCTCCCAAAGGGTCCTCACAATATCTAGCTTGTCATACATCATTTCACTACCAAGTGGTGCAGAACCAGCCAGTCTGTCTGCCTTCTTTTTTTTTCAAACACACTCGCATATCATTGACTTTTTGTTTTATAAATAGTTTTAACTCTTTGAGTCTCAAGGAACACATCATGCGTTCATAGGTTCCTACCTCATCATCATCATGTAGCAGGTCCTTTGCAGAACGTCCCTTTCATCACAGTCTGCCTGAAAGAAACTCGGTCTCTCGCCAGTTCTCCCGCCTCATGCACTTTCACACTCAAAGAGTCACTTATATGCTGTGCCCATCTTTGTGTCGGTCGGCCCCTGCCCCTCCTTCCTGGTACCATGCCTTCTGCTATAATTGTTTCCAATTCGTCGTGGCGCTTGATGTGACCAAAAAATTTCAGTTTGCGAGAAAAGATGCTGTTTATTAGCCAATCTTCCTTGATGTTCAGATCTTTTAAGTTGTCAATATTTATCATCTTCTTTGTCCAAGATATTCTGAGAATCTTTCTTTAGCATTTCAGCTCAAAAGCCCCAATTCTCTTTCTTAAGGACTGAGAGATAGTCCACGACTCACATCCGTATGTAGCCACAGGGAAGATGCATGCTCTCGAAATTCTAATTTTTATCTCCTTGCTGATGCTTAACCATAGACTTTTAAGGCTGTTCAATCTTTGCATTACTATTGCCCTCCTCCTTTTAATTTCTGTTGAACAGTCTCCATTGTTGTTTATTATAGAGCCTAGATATTCAAAGTTTGTGACTTCAATTTCTTCATCATTTATTGTTATTTTTTGCGTGACAGCCAGTTTTATCTGTGGACATTATTTTCGTTTTCGTTTCCTACCTAGAGACCCAAAAAACACAACATGTGCCGATTTTACATCTCTCTTGACTACCCCTTGCTCCATTGATGCTAATTTTTTTTTTTCTAATAATCAATTTGGAAAGAAAAAAACTTCAGTATAACAGATTATTACAACTACAAATGTGATTTTAAAATTGCCTAACGCCCCCTTTGAAACTACTTTGCCCCCCCCCTCTTTTTTTTTTCACCCCTTTAGTTTCAAAACCATTGCTGTAGGAGAGGCTAAGCAATATGGGATCAAACCCAGTACAATGAAGTCGACTCTCTTGCCTTTAAACACTGTTTAAAAAGCCCTTTCCATTGCCATTGTAATTTGTGCTATATTAAAATTTTTTTGAGCTGTCATTTACATCATGTTAATAATGTAATTGCAACAGGGGAATCTTCATGCGAACTTTGAACCTTCTCTCGCTGGGTGTCTCTCTGGTATTTGTTATTGATGGGCCCAATCCACCGGCTGTGAAAAGGAGAACTAAAAGCAGAGATGACTTTTATCGTACAGCTTTAGAGGTATTTAAAAAAATAAAACCACTTTTGTAGCTTTTGAAAATATGTTTGTTAATGACTTACTCTTGTATGAGTTTAATTAGATTTTACTATTAGAATACAAGTTTCACTATCTTGCATTGTGAACTCTTGGGAGTGGGGTTGGGGGGGGGGGGGGGGGGGGGGGGGGGGGGGGGGGGGGGGGGGGGGGGGGGGGGGGGGAGGGGGGAGGGGGGGGGGAGGGGAGAAGAGGTAGCCTCTGCTTCTTAACTGAGCCTTTGTCTGCATTCATCTGAGGACACAATTTTGTTGTGCTTGTTTACAGCATGGCTGCACTATTTACACCTTTCAGCTGACATACGTGACTTCATGGGGCATTTCCTACTACTATGAACCTTCCCAGCCATTATGAAAAAAAAAGCAGTTGTGTATGTTTAAAAGACCCTTTTCCACACGTTCAGTCATATTGAGCACATAGGGCTAGACCTATATTTTATAAACTTGTAGGAACTCAGTGGGTAATGTGATCAGCATCACGCCGGCCACCTTTACTTCCCAGGACTTTACCTGGTACCATTTTAAGGCTGGGTCAACCTGGGAGCTAAGATGATTTTTGGAGAAAAAAAATAAGTCTGATTCCGTCAGGACCTAAACCCACGACCTGTGGATTGTAAACGACTGTCTAGCCACTACACCATGGCGGTTTCCTGTATATGTATACAGATTTATGATATTGACTAAAATAAACCTTCATGTAATGACTGGTCTCTGAAAAATATGCAGATAGTAGTATAGACACACAGTGCAGCTTGGCATGGAAATAGCTGCTTTACTCACTTCACTGTACCCACCTGATAACGGATTCTGATTGTTTATTGCAGTGGTTTTCAGTCTTTTCCGGGTGGCACCTTACTTGAATATTTGGCGAGACCTTCCTTTACCCAGCTTTTCAAAAATGGGGTTAAAAAGAGAAAGAAAAAAATCTCAAGCACTATTAACAGAAACTTGAAGAAAAACATCAGCGTAAATCAAACTGTAAAATAACACAAAGGAACCATCCCTTTGTGGGTTTCGGGACCGTACTGGGGGGAAAACAAGAATAGACCCACTGCTTCCCCAACAAGCATTTCATAAGAGCCAATTAACTGGGAGCAACCTACAAAGTCTGAGAGGCAAAGAACCAACTGTCTGCATACAAATAAGCAAGATCTGTAAAACGGGTGCACACACAAAACTCAGGTCCTGGAACAAAGTCAAAAGTCCAGAAATGGACGAACAACCAGGTCTTTCCACCGGGTTTGCAGCCGGTGAAAGCAAACAACAAAACAACATAAAGGAAACATTCACCAGCAAGTGGTAACTGAGTGTCCACCTGTCAGTCTGATGGCTGACACTGTTTTTGTTTTGATGCTATCTGCTATTTATTTCTGGTGTTAGACAGGGCACTCTGCGCTTCACGTTTTGTTTTTATGACTATGAATTCTTCAGTTAGTCGCTGTGGCAGAGTGGCTAGATGTGAAAGCGGATCAGAAGGTTGTGGGTTCACTCCCTGGCGGAGCCGTACTTTTCTTCAAAAATGACCTTGGCTCCCAGGTCGACCCAGCCTTGAGTGGGTACCGGGTCCAGTCCCGGGAAGTAAAGGCGGGCCGGCGTGATGCTGACCACAACACCCATCTTGTGCCAATTGCTTGCTTCCCCCTCCCCCCCCCCCCCCCACCTTTCCTCTCCTTTGAAAATTCCTTGAACATCCTACATACATTAAAAAACCCACTAATCAGTTCATATTCAATGTGTCAGTCAAACAGTTTTGTTGTTGTTTATGTTTCAAACATCCAGTATAAAGTATTGCTGACAGCTCTGGGCCTTCCTGTCATCGAGTGTGATGGTGAAGCAGAGAAGTTGTGTGCAGAGCTTAATCTCAGGAAGGTAAGGTACTTTATACATACACCAGAAGTATGATGTGGAAGTTCCTTGGCACAGTACTTGTTGTCTCACCTTTAATTTCTGGTGTTCTGAGTTCAGCGAAATCCAGGTTTGAATGCTGAGTTTGGTTATGAATGTTTTTTCTCAGGGGGCGAAAATCCTTACCTGCAAAGTTTGTGGTGACTGCAATAGTATGCTAAGTTGATGGTGATGATCATAATGTGTTAATGGACCATTTTTCATGATCAAGTGCAATGGGCATATAGGGCTAGATCTTTATTTTATTGACCAGTCACCACTCATTGGGTAAAGTGGTCAGCATCACACCAGACACCTTTATTTACCAGGACTGCATCTGGTACCCAGTTAAGGATAGGTCAACCCGGAAGCCAATGTCATTTCTAAAAAAAAGTCCATCTTCATTAGGATTTGAACCCACGGTGTTGAATGGCAAATACATTAGGATTTGAACCCACAATGTTGAATGGCAAATAAATTAGGATTTGAACTCACAGTGTTGAATGGCGAATACATTAGAATTTTAACCCACAATGTTGAATGGCAAATAAATTAGGATTTGAACCCACAGTGTTGAATGGCGAATATATTAGGATTTGAACCCACAATGTTGAATGGCAAATAAATTAGGATTTGAACCCACAATGTTGAATAGCAGATAAATTAGGATTTGAACCCACAATGTTGAATGGCAAATAAATTAGGATTTGAACCCACAGTGTTGATTGGCAAATACATGAGGATTTGAACCCACAATGTTGAATGGCAAATAAATTAGGATTTGAACCCACAATGTTGAATAGCAGACAAATTAGGATTTGAACCCACAATGTTGAATGGCAAATAAATTAGGATTTGAACCCACATTGTTGAATGGCAAATACATTAGGATTTTAACCCACAATGTTGAATAGCAGATAAATTAGGATTTGAACCCACAATATTGAATGGCAAATAAATTAGGATTTGAACCCACAATGTTGAATGGCAAATAAATTAGGATTTGAACCCATAATGTTGAATGGCAAATACATATAAATGTATAGTTAAAATAATATTAAACTATAAACAAATACTTATAAAGGAAATATTCTGACATGAGTTTTTCTTTTTGAAAAGGAAGGAGGCAGGGACCTGATCCTGCTTCCCCTCTCCCCCCCCCCCCTTCCCCTCCCCCACCTCTTCTAACCCCAGCCCGTTTTTGCCTAAAACATTTGTTGGGGAAGGGTGAATGAGCCCTCACAATGTTTTGTTTGTTGCAGCACGACTGCTTCCATGCATCTAACTTAGGTGCCATATTGTACAGAGGCTAGTACACTTGCCTACCAACCTGATGGTCATGAGTTTGCTACCAGTTTGTGGCAGGTATTTAAAAAAAAAAAAAATCCAAAAGGCCTTCCAGAGAATTGAACCCTTTTGCATCAAGCCTAAATCTGGTCACTTCTGGTTGTGCCATGTCCCTGTAAATGCTGATACACGGAATGTCTGCAGTGACCGATTTTTGTAAGGAATAGTTAAGGTCCTTGTGTGTGCTCATGCATTGTTAAATAGGCCAGGATACAAATATAGTAACTAAAGATAGGATTTAGAGGGGTTTCCTTATAACCCCAATAGCTTTTTGACAGCCAAGTTGATGTCAAATTTTCCTGTAAGCCTCACTGAGGTCGTCAGTTACAGCAGGAGTTGCCCACTACATTTTGTTTTTATTTTTGTTTGTTTATTAGTTACCTCTATTTATACCTTTATACAAAATATTATATATATATATCATATATTTAGGAAACATTTTAAAATGTAGGTAAATTGTTTTTGTTTTTTTAATAATTTATTACAGAACTGTGAAATGTTTTTTTTTTTTTAAAGAATTTTTTTTCTGAAAATTAATACAGGTTGATGACCCTTATTGTTTTAGCATTCAATAGGCAAACGTACTAAATGGGTATTTACCTCTTTCCGTTAAAGAGTTGGTTGTTTTGAGATCTTTACAAGTAATTCATAATGAGTGATTGGCTGTTCTTCAGAAAATCACAACAGGTAGTATGCACTCAGAATAGGTAGAAAGCATTTGAAAACCGCACTTAACCTCCTCCCCTGGATCTACACATTTAGTCATGCCAGTGTAAAGGTAATGAGCCAGCAGACCCCTTGGCCAGCAGTACAACACCGCATACAGGAAAAAGCATGGAGAGAGTAGATATCACCAGCACTGAATAGACTGGGCTAGTGTATAATGACAAATCTCTGACACTGACACGATTACGTGACCTGGGAGTAGAGCATTGTAAAGGATGTATATGCCACCTTCGCAGCCGAGATAGGAGACATTATAACCTACTTTTTTTTGGAACAATCATAGAGGTACAGTGGAGTGGGTACTGCATCGGAGACTAGGCACACATGGGAATGCTAAATGTGTAGTGACGTTGATTGTGACAAAATATAACCTGTCTCTTTTTCTTGAAACATCCCATGATGTGTGATCATACCTTTAACATTTGGTCAGCTCACACTAAAATATCTGGCTTAAACAGTGGCCGCTTCCACTGTATGTTAGGCATCTTTTAAAGTAATGCACTGGTCACTTTTATCACAGTAATTTTCCGCCTGGACATCTGCCGCAAAGCCTTAAAAAATGTAATCGATAGATCTGTTATTTTCTCGTGTTGTTTTCAGTTCATGATCAGACTAGCATAAAGATTTGGCATCAAATGCTGTCTGTTTATTTCTTTAAACTGATAAATATGTGATGTGCAGAATGATTCTATTATTATATTGTACATCTCTGCATTTATTTAATCTTCACTGTTTTAAATAGTTAGTTGATGGAGTTATCACTAATGATGGAGATGCTTTGATCTATGGAGCTGAGACTGTATACAAAGGTCTATTACAGGATAAGAAGGTAGTATATTCTGATGCTAGTAGCATATGTTTGTTTCATATGTTAAATTTTCTGTTAGATAATCTTGACATGAGAATATATAAGAAACAGCAATAATAAGCACTTGAATGGTGATGGTTTAAGGGGAGACAGTACTGTCTTGACATATGTCGCCATTATTGCACTGAGTCCGTCTCGCTGCTTTATCTACCCTGTGTAGTTTACAGGGCTCTATTATGAAGTGTAGAGGGGAAGGGCAAGCATATACTTACTGCCTCGTTAAAAAGCATGTCATGAGAGTCGACTAATTAGGGGTTTTCTTTGAAGTTGGAGTGCATCTCCCTGAGAGGCAAGGAACCAACAGTCTGCATGCAAATAAGCCAGATCTGTAAAATGGAACGACTTAAGTCCAGAAGTGGATGAACTGTCAGAACTTTCTGCCAGAGTTTACGGCTTTTGTACATGAACGAACAAACTACTTTATCAGTTAGCTTTTCATCCACAGTTTGTGGTAGGCCTGTACAAGTGGGCACTGATCATCATCTGCTTCCAATTTGTGCTGTAATGTGTCATAGAGAGGAACAGCTTATAGTTCAACACTCATTGAGAAGATCTGGCTATTGTAATTCCATACAAATATAGATTTTCTTTAGTGTCATCAGTCGATCTTCTTCTTAGGCACCTTCTTGCTTTTACATTAGATCTTAGGTGTTGTGCTTTTGTTGGTTTTTCTTGCAGTTCTGCTCTACCAAGATGCCCGAACCATGAGATATAATGAATCTGGTGCAGTGTGTTGTTTCTATAGTCTGTTTGATAGTGTCATTTCTCACTTCTTCTGGGATGGTTGACAGCTATCCTCAAGTACCTCATCTCATATGTATTCATTTTGCTTAGGTGACATAATGATCAGCTCAAAAGCTGGCACTTGAAAAGATTTAACCATGTATGACAGGAGTGGTCTTATAAGGTTAGAATTTTGGGGGTGATGCAAAATAAGATGTAATAGAGCAGGCCAGAATCGCCTAAAGAGACAGTTTTATGGGGGTTGTTTGAGGGTCTATGGAGGATGACAAATAGGAGGAAGAGAAGAAAAAGAATAACAAGGAGGAAGAGGAGGAGATAAAGAAGAAGAAGAAATAACAATTACATAGAACTTATAGAGCTAACTTTGGTGCACTCATCTTTGTCCACATACCAGGACCACATTGCTATGGTGTACCACATGGAGGATGTCAGAACCAGCCTGAACCTCAGCCGCAGAGATCTTGTAGCGTTTGCCTTACTGAGTGCTGGTGACTTTTCTCTAGGGGTTCCTAACATCAGAGAAAAGAAGTTCATAGAACTTATGAAGGAATTCAAAATCAACAACATTGAAGATGCGTTACACCGGTATGTTTAACTGTTTTATGTTTTATGTGGTAAACATATCTGCACAAAAATTAAGAGAGACAAGGAAGGTGAAAATGTACCTGGAAACCTTTAAAAACTCATTATCGGGAACCCCACCCAGAGGCATAAGCACTCGTGTCTGTCCACAGATCTCTGTCCTTGGTTTTTGAATCAGTTCCACTGATGATATTCCACCATGCCATCACTTCAGGCCGTCAAGCATTGTCTCTCTTGGTCTGCCTGAAAGTCAGGAATGTTGTCATAGGAGAAAGAGTCAGCAGAGAACCAATTCTAAATTGCACACAAAGACAGCAAATCAAAGGTTTTGCCCACTTGGGGAGAATGTTTTATGCTTCCATACCGTACAAGGAATCATCATCATCATCATGTAGCAGGTCCTTTGCAGAACGTCGTACAAGGAATACACATAAGAAAAGGAGATGGATAAAGAGGATGAGGTAGACCAAGATTGAAAGATAACATCAGAAAAACTCTACAACAGCACAGTGTGTCTATGGTTGAGGTAGCCAAGGGAACAAAAAACATAATCTTTTTTTAATCTCGACATCCAAAGCAGTAAAAAAGGAAATACAGAAAAAGAAGAAGTATAAAAAATAATTGTTTGGAAGGGCAGAATGTAAGATGAGCCTTCGTGCCAAATTGGTAACCCTTTGGATTGGTAACCCTTTGGAAGTCAAGTTAATTCGTTCATTTGTTCTTCTACCATTGATCTTTCCAGTTATCACAATATTCTCCAGCGCCTCTCTTTTCTTCACATGACCATGGATCACTAACGGCCTCTTTCTCCTTAAACAACTGACCGGTAATAATAACATCATCATCCTCATCATTGTCATCATTATCATCATCATGTTGTGCTGTTATGTGACTTCCATTCCATTATGTCCTGTGCAGTCCTTTCGATGTCATGGATGAAATCCAGGCAAGTACCTTTGACCTTTCTTGACAACATTTATCTTAGAAAATAATAATAGAATACCAGTTTCTACACAATGTGAGGTGACAATGAAGATGGGCATTCCTGATCATTGACATCTAGTTCAGGCCAAGCACCCCAGGAAGTTATCTCAGTATCGAATGAACACTCTTGGCATGCTAGATTCTTCTCCAGGGTTGCAGCCTGTAGGATTAACATCAAGAAGAAGAAAAGGAATGTCAAAGAAAGAAAATACTGCACTCCATCTTCAGTGTATGATTTGTGAAATTTTGTAGGTTTATGACATGGTCAGCTAACACTGAACTGGACTGTTTAGACCAAAAGATGAAGTCACTGGCTGACATGAAAACCAGACACTGCACCAAGTGTCTGCATGAAGGTAAGCACTTGAGCCGTAAGCTGCTAAACTTGTTATTTTGAAGCACTGGTTCCCTTATTTTAGAAAGAACAGCAGTTAAACACTGTTACCCTGTATAAGCTGGTTTTGTGGCATGTACAGGTTTTTTAATGACATATTGTCTTTGTGCAGTGGCCTATATAAATGCACTGATACTTGTTGCTACTGCACTGAACAGTTTGTTTGTTTTTAATGGTCAAAAGGAAGGAAAGCAGTTAATTTGTTGCTCCATTTGATATTCAGTGATGAATTCCCTTACTAGAAAGCTGGTTTTTGGGGTTGGAATATTACCACTGGCATTTGCAAAAAAAATATTTGTTAGTGACTTCAGGATTGCAGTGATGTTATGGCTAATAGGCCAGCCTGTCATTTTGGTAGTCATATATTTTAATCTGTTAACCCCCTGAATTTTTTTTAAAACTTGACCAAGACTCTTTTGCTTCTTGTTCTACTTTTCCTCTAATTTCTCAGGAAAAACTTTCCGAGAATTTTAAGCATGTGTTTACTTTTAATAAAATTTAGAAATTGGCCTTCAACTAAATTTATTTGTTTTTGTTTTTGTTCTTATGGAACAAAGGGATTAAGCAAAATTCCTGGGAAAAAAAGAAAAGTGACTGACCAGCACAAAAGCTGAATACTGGACACACGTTTAGCATGCAAATGCACGAGGCAGGAGACTGATGTTTCACATGGCAAGGCTGTGCAACAGTTATGCCATGAACAAAAGTCTGCAAAGGACTTGCTACTTTGTGATAGGAAGAATGGCAGATAACAGAGACAAAACTGCATAAACAAAAGAGTTCACTGTGAGTAGGTTACGAGGCAGACCAAGAAGAATGTGGAGAGATAATATGCAGGCAGATCTACAGACACTTGGAGTCAATAACTTGACAAAGATGGTCAATCACAGAAATGTGAACCTCAGAGGCCCAGAATGCTGCTGCTGCTGAAGAAGAAGAAGAAGACATATTCACTTTGTAACATAACATTAGATTCCATGAACAAACACATAGCTTTATTAATAATAATTGCGTGAGTAAAATGAATGATTGCAAGAATAAATATTATTCAGGGACAAAACAAGAACACGTCCATTCTGGCTGTCAGGTTTGTCAAGTGGATTCTGAGTGCAGGCAAGGAGACTCCCCAGATCATCCACCTTGCCTGTGTGAGTACCATCTAGCGGAGGAGTCTGTCAAGACTTATAAGATGGAGCTCAAGATTCGTGAATTAGCTTTGAAAAGTGACCCAGGCTTTCCAGACAGAGCAGTGAGTATTCTGTTTGTCTCTTCTCTGAACCCTATCACCTCAAGAAAGATGATTTTCTAGGATTTACAGGTGTTTCTTGATATGGTGGTTTTTGCGTAGTAGCTAGCACACCAGTATAACAGCATTGCACACTGATAACTACTGATAACTACTCCATAGTGTGTAGACTTGGCTATGAATAAGTGTGTGCGCATGCCCGGGCACGCACACACACTTATCTGAGATATTATTTGGGATGAAAAAATACATTTTTGAAATTGTGACATGAAACAAATCTGTCACTTGGCTCCACATTTTTCTGGCCAAAGGGCAATAAAGCAGTTAGTTCTCTGATGCATTTGTTCTTTGTGATTACTGTCTTTCACATAAATCACTAATTTAAAAAAAAAATGCTATGGTTGGGGGTTTTTTTTGGGGGGGGGGAGGGGGGTGAAATGAGGTGGCCAGTAAGGCTGCCTCTGCCTGTCTGCTTGGTGGATTTTTATTAAAACTGACCAAAACTCCAGATTTCCTCTACTTCTTTTTGTCTTCCTTTAGTTTCTCACAGTCAGGTTTCAGAAAATTATAAGGTTTCTTCTCTTTTAAATGAAATTTCTTTTAAAAGTCATGTTTTTTCCATATTCTTACTGGATAAAAGGGCTCAAAGCCAGTAGGCTATGACTTTATTCCTTCCTGTTAAGGAGCTGTAGTATCCCAAGATTGGTGTGCATACCCACTGGCCTGGTGGTCTTGGATTTGAGTGAAGCTGATTAAAACAGAAAATACTTACCTGTTCCATACCTTACCTTTCCTGTCAAAAAATGGAGCTAACCTACATTGGCTACAGAAAAATATCCTAGGAAGTAAATGTAGCCGGCTAGACACTAACCACATTATCTACCGAGTGTTGATTTCATCTATTTTTAAAAAATGGAGATAGCACCATATTCTGGTCTGTATGGCAGATAGGTGGGTAAGCTGTTTTTTTTACTGCTAAGTTTTTTTATTCTGAAAAGGTATAGTTCCATACTCCATTTAATGTCAGGTGCATGGCACATCACTGTGAGGGAGGGATTTCATTTAGAATGCTTTTTGATTGTGCCCAACATGGCTTGTGTCATGAAATGGAGATTCAAAAATGGCAAGTGGCCTGTTGTCAGAGAACTTGTGGTGCTGTATGTGAATAATTGCATGTGCAACTACTGATCTGTTGAAACTGCTGCTTCCATTGATGTTGAACTGCATTTCTAGTGTAGACTATTTATGTTAGCACATCTGACTGCTGCCTTGGGCATTTAATATGTATATAACGTTGGGTTTGTTGGGACTGCACTTTGCCAATTTTGTTTAAAATTTGTCACAAGGGATAGTGATGGACATTCTGTATGATTTTCTTTGGCACAGAAACTGAGCAACTATGGGGTGAAGCGTTTGCTATACGGTTGGAGCTGCGATTACCTGATTACCTGAAAGCACCAAATGCTTATAAAGCTTGAAGGCATGGAAATGAATTCTTTACTTATCCCTTTACATTTCTTTGAGGGCTTGTATTCTAACGACATAAATAGTTGGCTGTTTCTTTCCTCACAGTTATTGATTAACTGGTTGTTGATTAAACATTCAGAAGCTGTGATACATAGAGCTGAAGCAGAGTTCCCTCACACTGTTTATTTAGGTGGAGAGATCATCTCCTTCCATGAGTAGTGTACTTAGTACCACACAGACCAGCTTTATTTACCAGAAGATTCCCTGTTACTGAGCTGATTGCAAGTTATTACACTAAATGCACTCCAATAGATAAAAGCCCATTATCAGGACTCGGACAGTCTTATCAAAAATAGATCAGACTTATCAGCTGGGAGTCAGCCTTTTAAAGGTTTCACCATCCAGACAACCTTCCAACTTACCAGCCATCCATCCAACAACCATCTAGTCAGCCACCCATCCAGTGAACCATCCATGAACCATCTAGTCTTATCATCCATGAAATCAACCATCGAGTCAACAATCAAACTAACCATTCTTCAAATTAACCAGCCATCCAGTCAACTATCTAGTCAACCATCAAACCAATTGTCTAATCAACCATCCAACCAACTTTCTAGTCAACCATCCATCGAATAAACTATCTAGTCATACTCATCTAGTCAACCATCCGTCCAGCCAGCCAACAACCCCCCAACCATCCAGCAACCATCTTTGTCCACCATCCATCCAATCAGTGATCCAACCAACCATCCAGCCAACTATCTTGTAAACTACCCAACCAACCGTCTTATCAGTTATCCAACCAACCATCAGCTGGTCAGCCATTCAGCCAACCACCAAGTGAATCATCCAACCAACTATCTAGTCAGCCATCTATCCAACCTTCTAGTCAATGTCAAACCAGCTACCTAGTCAACAATCCAATCAACCTTCTAGTCAACCATCAAACCAGCTACCTAGTCAACAATCCATCCAACCATCAAGTGATCCAGTCAACTATCAAACCAACCATCTAGTCAACCATCCATCTAACTATCAAATGGTCAATTCAACCATTCAACCAACCATCTAGTCAACCATCTGTCCAACCAACTATCTAGTCAACCATCTAGTCAACGCTCAACCAACCATCCATCTATTCCACCATCCAACAAACCATCTAGTCAACCATCCAACCAAGCATCTAGTTAGCCATCAGTTAATCAACCATCCAGCAACATCCAACCAGTCATTCAACCAGCCCAATGATCATGTCAAAGATGTACATGCATTTCACCTCACTCCCAGGTAATATTATTTTCTTTATGATTTGACACAGGTTATACAAGAATATCTGCAGCCCTTGCCTCAGATGTTGGATGATGTAGATCTCTGTGTGCGTGTGCCAGACTTCCCAGCAGTGTGTAGTTTTATACAGGAGCGTCTGCATTACTCTTTCCAGCACACTATGTCCTATCTGGTACCTGCCACCATCAAAATGGCTATCCATGGTGTGTTACCAGACCTGGCTGTCACCCCACGCTGGTGTGTATATATATTGATGTTTATAATAGTTTTTATGTTACCAGATCTGGTTGTCACCCCACTCTAGTGTCTACAATTTTCTGATATAACTGTTATATGTTCTTAAAAGTCATCCCCATGTGGGACGCAATTTTTTTTTTTTAAGTCCCACCCTTGCTTTTTCTGGGGGCCCTGAATATATCTGGGGCATAGATATGGCCTAGCCATATATATGGCCTAACGGCTGAAAGGGGTTTCTGGGACCTCTCCATGGGTGATCCTCATCCGCGTGGTGGCACTTTGTGTCACCGGGTGTTTATCGCTTGTGTGATGTCCTGGTGGGGTACAACTACCTACCTACCTATAACTGTTATTTATATTAGATATTTGAGTCTGTGGCTTAGGAGTTGTGAATGTGGCTTGTAATTCTGAGATAGCCAGTTCAGTTCCACTGCTGCAATTTGGAAGCAGACTATTTTGTATTGATTTCAACAATGGATTTCCGGTTTGTGTTCATGGAGCCCCATTGTGGGGAAGACAATAATAGACCCACTGTCTACCCAAAAGCATATCGTAAGGGTCGACTAATTGGGAGGTTTCTTTGAAGTCAGAGTGCCTCTGCCTGAGCGGCAATGAACCAGCAGTCCGCATACAGATGAGTCAGATCTGTAAAACGGATGTGCATTCAACACTCTGGTTGTGGAACAGGACTAGAGTCTAGAAGTGGACGAACCAGAACTTTCCGCTGGAGTTTACAGCCAGTGAATGCTAAGAAGAAGAAGAAGAAGACACAAGATGAACAATGATATCCAGATTTCAGAAGTTCACCAGGTATATGTCTGTTGTTATAAATTTCATTCAACAATTTTGTCAACACTTCTGTACCCATTTCACTAAAACTTTCAATTCTTCAGTAGTGTTTTTATCTGGCTCTAAAGATTGACACTTCTTCATATGGTGAATGGCATCTTCTACTTTTGCTTTCATTATTGGTGGTCCTTCACAGTACTCATGACTCTCTATGTCTGGTCTGCAGTTATCGTCATGCAGCTCTTCTATTTATTCTGTCCATCTTTCAGTTACCTTCTCTTTATCCATTAATAGTTCACCTTCTTTGGCTTTCAAGCAATTAGTAACTGTAAATTTTCTAAAATGGGATTGTTTTTGTATCCTTTTATATATCTTGTTTTTCACTCTTTGTTCTTCAGTTTCTTTTCATTTATTATGTAGCCAAGCTTCTTTCACTGCATTATACTATTTATGTATGTATTTTTAAATAATCTTCTTGTTTCTGTTTACATTTTCTTCTGATCTCCAATAAATGAAACATTTCCTCTGTCATCCATTCTTTCTTTACTGTCTTCTTTTCTTTTGGTATTATTTTTCTGTAATGTCTGTTGCTTTGACTCCCACAGTTGTTTACATGTCTGCTTATACTTGTTGTTTGTGTTTACAGATCTGGTTATCACATCATTCTGGTGTGTATCTGTTTCTGTTTGCAACTTTCATTATGTTTCTGTTGTAGCTATTAATTATGATACAATACCCAGTTATCGCATATTTGAGTTTATTTCTGTTTTTTTTTTTTTGACAAAACACCTAGTTATCACAGCACACCTGTTTCTATTTATTACTGTTATTAATGATATGAACTCATTTATCACACGGCCGTGATGTATACATACTTGTGTTTATCACTTACATTACCGGATCTGATTATCTCTGTACTATGTGCTTGCATGTTTTTATAAAAGCTACTGTTGTCAGAAATATCAAGCTGTTTATGTAATTCTCTGAATTTCAGTATTATCAAAACCTGCAAAGTCAACTTTGAACAGTGCTTTTTGGTCAGATGGAAGAAATTAGGTAGGTGTCACAGCCTTTTTATGACCACAGACCATTTGTATCATGGTTTGATTTCATGTCATTAGGTAAGGATTATCTTCCTTACATACATGGTTCCTCTATAAGTGATTTGGTTTTCTTCCATTAACCCCCTTGACCTATAAGCCCTTTAGAGAAAACACCCAGGAATAAAATAAACTTACTTTAAAAAATACGTAGCTTATAAATATATTTGTAAACATTAATTTACATACATTTAAATTTTTTAATAAAGAAATAAATAAAGGGGCGTAATAATTTAAAATGAACAGAGTGGAGAGATACAGTCCCTTGGACCCAAAAATAATTCATATGGTGATTTATTTTATGACCCTGATTATTAAAGGCTAAAAATGAGTTATGTTATCATTATGACATCATAATTACTAACAATCAGTCAGTTGCAGATGGTGAGTCATATTGATATTTTGCCCAGGCCAAATAGATGTGTTCCAATTTTAAAGGAAAAATCCCAGATCATTCACTTTTTATAACGTGCTTGTTAGGCTCAGGGTATACAGCCTACTTGGGCACATTGACAGAAAAGAACACAAGTTGAGAAAACTAAATTGCTGACAAGAAACCTTTATTGCTCTAACGATGTTCTTCTAGGCCAATGAGCCAGAAGTTTGATGTCAATTACACAGGCTACTCAAGAATAATCGTACATACTTTCATTACCTGGACAAAGTTCTAATGGTCAACACTTCCAACAGTTGGCATTTCAGGTGTCGCACAGTTGCATTAAAAAACACTTAGAATCAGAGAAGACAGGTTTCATCCATGGCAATTTGTAGATGCTTTCAGCATAGCCATGTTTACCTAGGAAACAGGTCGGCAGCTTGATTGTACAATCAGTTATTTCGTTAATACATACCGTTCACATGCTCCAAACACCACAGGACCAGGCTCTCACGGAATTGAAAACAAAACTGAGTTTTCTTACTTGCTCCAAGTTTAAATTATCTATTCTACTTCTCATGCATTCCGAAGTTTCACTCACAATCTCACGATTTCCTTTTCTGGCACACATCAGCCTAACTGCACATTTGTCCAGAGTTAGTATCGCTCACTCGATCTGTTCATTTATACATTATAATTAGTAATCTATGCCATCTATCTGAATTCTCACACATAAATTATGTTTAGTAGTTATCATTTTCAAACAGTGAGAACATTTGCCAGCAATGAGAAAATGATTCCTTACAGGGTCTCTTCTTTTTCTCCTTAAAATGGAGGCCTCTGAACCCACATGGGGGCCTGTCCTAATTATTATTGGTTATTATTCATGATGATGATAGTAGCGATGACAACAAAAATGATGATACTGATGTTGAATCTAATAAAGGTGATAAGCCACCTTGTAGTTTTAGTTGTTTAACTCTATAAGTCCATGTTATTCTGTATGCTGCTTGATTAATCTATGTTGTTTCATACTACATCCAGTTCAAAGTTTGCTCAAGACAGAAACTGTTTCTCTATAGAAACACAGTGTAAGATAGAGAGTTTAAAAATTTTATGACAAATTGTGTTTAGGTTTCATTTTTACTTGATAATTTGCTTTTAATAGACTTTATACATTGAGTTTCTGAGGTTCTCCCTCAATTTACTTGATTTATCTTTTTTTTCTTATGTTTGTTGTCATGTTATGAGAGCTTTTATACTTTTTTTGATTAACTGAATTAGATTATACAGGGTGTTTGTAAAGTCGCACAACCCTTTGTATGCAGAACACATTTGAAAAATAAATGCATTACATCATCCACACACACACACACAAAATGTTCTGGAAAAAAAGTCATTACATTTGTTACAGTAATGTATGCTACAGTCTTACTCTGTTTTTGGGAAGCTGGAAAGTGCCAGTGACATATTATTTATAACAGGTGTTGGAAATGTCCACCATGGGCTTCAAGACATGACCATCCATGTGTATTGATCGCCGTTTTGAAACACTCGTTCAGCCAAAAATCTTTCTTTCAACTTCGATACGCGGAAGCTTCAGCGATTGGCAGATTGAAACCGGAACTTTGTAGGCAAAAGGAAATGGTCGTTGCCCTACGTTTACCTTGGTGAAACAGTTTGAAATCTACTCGAATTTGTGTTTCAGTTTCTAGGATTCAGCTATTTGCTTCATTTTAATTAATTGTTACTGAAGTATGCACCTGATGAGATACAGCGAAATATGCCAGGCAATAAATTGTGCAGTCTATTGTTTGTGTCTTCTTTGTTCAAATTTCTTTCAACTAGTCTGCAAATGATTAATCCAGCAGAAGACAGTCATTCACCCCATATTTCTTCATGATTGACTGTAAATCACACTTTTTTATCATGTACTTCATTTTACAGATTTATTCTGCATACAAAGTATAGTCAGACTTTATAAACACCCTGCTTAATGTTATATTCCCCACCGCCACTCCCCCCTCCACCCACCAACTCCCGAACCCATTGTTTAGAAAAGTATTATTATTAAGCTGTTAAATCATTCTTCTCCTCCTTCTCCACTTAGAATAACTTGTAATGTCTTGTCTTACCATACTAGGTATACATTGAATGAGGAGAGGGGGAAAAAGAGCCTGAGTTAGACCAAGAAGAAGAAAGATCAGATCAAAGACACTCTACAATAGGATCACTGTCTGTGTTCAGTATGGCCAGTAGAGCCAAAACTAGAAATCTGGTTATTCCTTGACACCTGAAGCTGTAAAAGAGTTTCTCATGAGAAAATGACCATTGTGATGCATCTCTTGATTTGAAAGTAACTTTCTTCACTACCTGTGTTTACCATTTGCTATGTTCACTGACATCAGAAGGAAACAATCTACATTCTTTGATCATGTCGTAATATGGAGTAAACATTATTACATAGGGATGTTGAGAAAGCTGTAGGGGAAAGGAAGTAGAGGGAGACCGAGAGAGAAGTGTCAGAAGCGATTGATAGTTCACAAGACAGACTGTTGTTGAGAAACATGATTACCAACACCATGTGATATGAACTATAAGTAGAAGATGTCTAGTAGAGGCAGGTGGGCTGGAGCCTGAGAATTTAAAGCCACATTGCTAGTCAAGTCGCTATGAACTCACTAGGTTAGGATTTGTATTTTTCCTCATGACAGAACAGACTTCCATTAGTTGACCCAATAAACCCGGGTCTTTTGCATGAGAGCCCTGTATTCTAGCCACTTGGCCAGCCGTTCCTTATCTCTTGAAATCTCTTCTTAATTATCGCCATTTAGAGCTAGGAACTTTTTATCAAACATTTGAGGAAGGTTTTAAAGTGAAGCCAACCAGCCAGCTCATAACAGTGATGATCAACCAGTTAGTTGGTTGTTAGTTGATGTTCTAACATCAATGAAGGGGAGTTGGCCCATAACTGCTCCATTCCTGTGTCAGTAGAAATCATTAAAAATGTCCTTCACTGTCCCGTTTGAAAACTAATAAAAAACTTGTCAGTCCCATTGAAATCTTGAAACTTGCACACACAAAGTAAAATTGCATAAACCATATGTCAGAAGTGCCAACACTAGAGGTCCCACACCAGAATTCCAGCGCACTGTTTTGTATCTTAAAAAGTACAAGTAATTTGGACTATAACTGGCCATGTACTAATTTAGTGCAAACATCAACATGCCGTGGTCACACACATTTCATAGCTCACAGTGTTGCACCAAGCACTAAACTCCGTAGGTGGGCGACAGAATATTAAAAATCAGCATGTATTCTCAGGGCTCTTATGAGATTTTCTTGAGTACCGTGATGGTGATTCTTCATTATCATGTATTTTTCAGATGAAGATGAATTGTCAGATGAAAGCAGTTATGCTTTTCATCTCTCCCAGACTCTGTTTGCCTCCAAGTACCCGGACATGGTTGAAGATTTTATGGGTGCAACAAGATGTAAGTTTGTTGATTGGCTTTTGTGTTATAGCTTGCTCTTTCTCTTTATTTCTCCTTTTTGTTTCTTTGGCATTCACCCTAAAAAAGGGGATTAACCTATTTGTGTTATGGGTTACAGCTAGGCTGCAGTGCCTGCACCTTTCGGACCAGCACATTTATTTTCAGGAAATATTTAATTAGTTACATTCAGTGACATGCTCGTTAAGAGAGACAGTGAAAATAAGAAGATACTAGGTTAGTTACCTAGTCCAAAAGCAATGCTTACTTCTGACCCTTCTTTTATCACAATTATTTGTTGCATTAAATTATTAATCTGAGTTGTTAGTTTTACCACTTCTGGCTGTAGTGTTATAATTTAAATTTCTTTGGGTCCAAGCAATGGTTACTTTAAACTAGAACATATTGAGATTTTAAAAGCAGTTAAATTAATTATAGGCTGATATTGAAAGAAGTCAGATCCAAAGATAACCCATTACAAATGTTAGAAGGAAACAGTCAGTATTTTTGTCTACTTTATGCAAAACAAAGCTTCTGAAAGTCCAACTATCTCCAACCAATTCTCCTATATGCTTTAATTAGCCAAACATCTTCATTGTCCTGCATCAACTTTATGGGTGGTTGGCCTCTGCCTTGTTTTCCAGAAACTGCACCATCCCTCAGCGTTCTCTCTAAACCACCATGGTGCTTGATATGTCCAAAATACCTCACCTTTTTCAAAGGCTTGACACACAACAATGGAGAAACATAATTAATAAGTTTAATATAAAAAAAAAGGCTAAGGAAGCAGCCAAAGAAGATTGTCGAGAACTGATTGTGATGACATAAAAGAAATCAGGCTGAGGAAGGCAGCAGAAGAACATTCTTGCAAACTGTTCACGATGACATAAAAGATAACAAAGGTTAAGGAATGAAGCAAAAGAACATTCTTGAAAACATATCAAAATGACAAATAGGAAAACAAAGGCAAAGGAAAACAGCAAATACAAATTCTTTAAAAAACTTTTCATGATGACATAAAAGATAACAAAGCAGCAAAAGAACATTCTTGAAAACTGTTTGTCATGACAAAAAAGATAACAGGCTGAGGAAGGCAGTAAAAGAACATTCTTTAAAACTTTTGATGATGATATAAAAGATAACAAAGGCTAAGAAAGGCAGCAAAAGAACATTCTTGAAAACATTTTGTGATAACGTAAAAGATAACAAAGGCAAAAGAAGGCAGCAAAAGAACATTCTTGGAAGTCTTTCATCATGAAATAAAAGATGACATAATTTAATATATTCTGCTGGAGAAGGTTAGCTGTGGAGAAACAATATCCTTAATGCCACTTGGCATATCCTTTTTTCCACTTGGCATTATTTGTATGCCACTTTGCATTACACTTAATATTAATGATTTATGTCTAGCAAGTTTTCCATATCGATTTCTTACTGTGATGATTTAAACTTACATCATGATAATATATGTTTCAGATACTGGCAAGAGAAAATACAGTAATTGTAGTCAGTCGAAGATGACATCACATTTTAAGACAGTCAAACAGGCAATTCCTTCAGCTAAAAGGGAAGAATGGAGTTATAGACGGGCAGTGCCCAGTTGTCAACAGGCAGATCAAACATGTAATATTCCTGATCTTCAGGTTGGACAGACAGAGCAACAGTGGAAGCAGACAGAACATGAGGATGAGCAGACAGTCAAACAGGCAATTTCTTCAGCTAAAAGGGCAGAATGGAGTTATAGACGGGCAGAGCCCAATTTTCAACAGGTGGATCAGACATGTAAGATTCCTGATCCTCAAGCTGGACAAGCAGGGCAACAGTGGAAGCAGACAGAGCATGAGGGTGAGCAGACAGAGCACCAGTTCAGTCAAGTGAATGAACAGTTTGAGGTAGAGTACCATGGACAAGCAGAATTTCATTGTAGGCAGGCAGCAATCCAGCTTAAGCGAATAGATTCTTACATTGGGCAGACACAGCAGCATATTGGGACAACTGATCACCTGACAGGGCAGACACATTTGATTGAGCAGACCCAGCACCTGATTGGTCAAACACAACTCCAGTCTGAGCAGACTTCACATCGTGTAGAGATAGCTGACCACCATGTTGCACAAATACTATGAATAATATTTGCTATAGAAAGATTCTCAGAATATCTTGGACAGACAAAGAAGAGGAAAAATATTGACATCTTAAAAGATCTGAACATCAAGGAAGATTGGCTAATAAACAGCATCCTTTCTCGGAAGCTGAAATATTTCGGTCATATCAAGCACCACGACGGATTGGAGAGAATTATAGCCGAAGGCATGGTACCAGGAAGGAGGGGCAGGGGCCGACTGACATGAAGATGGGCACAGGATATAAGTGACTCCTTGAATACGAAAGTACATGGGAGAACTGGCGAGAAACCGAGTTTATTTCGGGCAGACTGTGATGAGAGCGACGTTCTGCAAAGGACCTGCTATATGATGATGATGACTATGAAAAGGCAGCAGTGATTCACTTTATCCAGCAGAATCTCCATAATCGAGAACTCTAAAGTAAAATATGGCAGGCCAATCCAAGTGTGTATTGTAGTCACCTGTCATAAAGACATTTTTGTCAGCTTTATTCTTTTGCTGCCTGTTTCGTGTGCCATAAAGTGTTCTGCATTTTGGAGCAATGTTTCCGTGTTGTAAATTGAACAAGAGGATACATACAATAGATTGCACAATTTATTGCTTGACATATTTTGCTTTATCTCAATGTTTCCATGTTGTAAATTGAACAAGAGGATACAAACAATAGATTGCACAATTTATTGCTTGACATATTTTGCTTTATCTCAATGTTTCCATGTTGTAAATTGAACAAGAGGATACAAACAATAGATTGCACAATTTATTGCTTGACATATTTTGCTTTATCTCAATGTTTCCATGTTGTAAATTGAACAAGAGGATACAAACAATAGATTGCACAATTTATTGCTTGACATATTTTGCTTTATCTCAATGTTTCCATGTTGTAAATTGAACAAGAGGATACAAACAATAGATTGCACAATTTATTGCTTGACATATTTTGCTTTATCTCAATGTTTCCATGTTGTAAATTGAACAAGAGGATACAAACAATAGATTGCACAATTTATTGCTTGACATATTTTGCTTTATCTCATCAAGTGCATGCTACAGTAATAATAGATAATAATAAAGCAAATTAATTAATACTTCAAACTTAAATTAGAAATTCAAAAAAAAAAAGCAGGCATTTGCTTTGGAGTGTAACTGATTTTGTATTTCAGTTAAATGGATAAACAAAACTGTCACTAAACTGTTTTAAAATAACATGGAGTTCTAAGCTGCTGGCACATTTCTGCCTTTCAGGATGACATTGTTTTCTTTCAAGAATGCATGGGAACCACACCATGAGTCTTGCACTGTAAATGCATGAGATTTCAGGGCCATCATTGCCATCACATATAGTGGGCATGTTTCTTCTCAGGCCCTCAGTTCTTAATCTTTCTAGTACTCAAGGGAAAGGCGAGACTTATATACAATCAGACAGTTACTGGTACCATCGGAATTGGAACTCTTTACTTGCTGCTGAAGATGGGGACGGAGTGCTTATGGGAGTGTTTCAAGTGTTTTATTGTCAATTCATAAGTCAATTTCCTGTCTAGTATTGAGTAAATAACATTGTTACAGCGGATGTATTATTCATGTTTGCCAGTTGGCATGGATGGAAATATGTGAGTGGATGGTATGGTGTCATTTAAGTTTGGCATAGAGTCTTAGTAAATGAGGGTAAAGAAATGTTACTACAGTGGTGTCATTTATATTTGACATGATGTCCTGTATATGAAAGTATAGAACTGTTATGTTACTGATGTCAGTTAGGTGTGAGTCTCACAACTCTAGACCAAGAAGTGTGATGATGTACACTGGTGGGTCAGTTATCAGGGGCAGAAAAAGCAGATGCGGCTTCATTGCAAAAGCATGGGCGAGAAGGATGACCGAGGAGAACTTGGCATGGGACATTACCACATTCCACATGAGAATGGAGGTTTGGCGGTAACTCTGGCATTCTGATGGGTGGAATAAATCTCAGCCACACACGTTGTCAAAGTATCAGATTTGCAAAGCATGCAAGGTTGAGTCAGGCTTTCTTCATATGGAATGGGTTACATCAATTTAGAGGTGGTGAGAGTCACATGAATTTTTTGCTTGGTCGGTTCAGATGTGTTCGGAATGAGCAGGCAGAAAGCCTGGCTAGACTCATTTGGGAATGGACTGCAGCTGCACAAGACAGAGGTGATCTCTAACCTGTGGGACAAGGTAAGAGGTGAAATGGAAGCTATTGGAAACCAATACCTGGAGAGATTGATGTAGCTGGGAGTGGCTATGGGCTCTGAGTGTGACTAGAGACACACAGGGAAGGCAAGACGAGTAGTTAACCAGATGACAGCGGGTACCATCTGTATGGAAACTCTTTGCTGCCTGTTGAGGAGGTAGACAGAGCAAATATGGGCTTGTCCTGAATGTGATGTTGAATCTTTACCCAGATAAGCCGAGGCATGAGTCTCAGTATAATGGCAAGAGATCAAGTTTCTTTCAGGCAGACTGTGATTAGAGAGTCGTTCTGCTA